AACCTGTTCAGGCATTCACTGGAGTCACACCAATTCCCAGCGAAATGGAAACAAGCTACTCTCTCTCCAATCTTCAAAGGAGGAGATAGAAAGGACCCAGCCTGTTACAGACCAGTCGCACTACTACCTATATTATCAAAGATTATGGAAGGGCTAGTGGACGAACAAATGAGGAAGTACATGGATAAGAATAAAATACTCCATGAAGCTCAACACGGGTTTCGGAAAGGCAGGTCGTGTGCATCTAATCTTCTCATCGCATGGGACAGTTGGACATCCTGCTTGGACCGTAAAATACCAGTGCACGTAGTATTTCTCGACTTCGCAAAAGCCTTCGACACAGTGCCCCACGCACGCCTAATCGAAAAGGTTGTGGAAATGGGCTTCACTGACCCGCTCGTATCTTGGCTCAGAAACTACCTTGAGAATAGAAAGTTTCGCACCAAGGTAAACAGTGTGCACGCGAGTTGGAGAGTATCCACTTCAGGAGTTTCACAGGGGACCATCCTAGGCCCACTCCTCTTCCTGATATTCATTAACGACCTGCTAAGCTTAGTTAGCTCACCGGCACTGATCTACGCAGACGATGCGAAGATCTGGAGGTCCATTAGAAGCGAAGAGGATTCGACTGAGTTTCAAAAGGACCTTACATCCATTGAGGAATGGGCAGTGAAAAACGGTTTAAAACTTAACCAACCGAAGTGCCACGTCATGCATTTCCTGCCTCATATGACGCAAACCACCTACTTTCTCAATGGAAGTCCGCTCCCTAATGTCTCCTCAGAGCGCGATCTTGGTTTAATAACCACAGAAAGCCTCCACACGAGTCCGAACTATGTAGGGGATGCAGCCAAGGCAAATGCGACTCTTCACTTTATGCGAAGACAGCTTGGTGCTATAACCCCGAAATTATTTTTAACCCTCTTTAAGACGTACGCGCGCCCACACTTGGAGGCTCACAACGTCATCGCACCCCCTCTGCTTAAAAGAGACATTAATCTCTTGGATCGAGTGCAGAGACGAGCAACCAAATGGGTGATAGGGCTGAAAAATAAACCGTACGACAATAGACTCCAGCTCTTGGGATTATTCCCACTGAGCTACAGGAGAATCAGAGGTGACCTTATTATGGCGTACACCATATTAAACACGCTAAATCATCCCAATGTGAGCATCTTACCGATGCATCACCACCACTCCCCTCGAGGCAATCCTCAAAAGATTGCACATCAAAGAGCAAACACTCAGGTTCGTGCACACTTTTTCTCATTGCGAGTCGTCGCAACTTGGAATGCTCTCCCAGCCGAGGTAGTTACAGCCCCCTCAGTGGACTGCTTTAAGAAGAGACTTGATAATCACCTACTCACATGCGGACTATCATCCCCCTCTTGGACAAGCTATGCCTGATGCATATCTTGAGACCTGCTAGTTATTACCATTGCCATCTCCTCAGATCACTTAATTAATTTAACTCCCTTGCTTACGCTTCGGTCCTCTCTCACAATCTTCACTACCAATAAATAAACTAAATTCATCAGTTCTGAAATTTTACTCATATTATCATTTTAATTTACCCTTATTACCCTTATTACTCTCCACATTGCAACTAACTGATCTCCGGTTTGGTAATGTGACGGCTGCTAGTTTACATAAACCCTACTGCCCTGAAACAAACGTTTCATTCAAATCCCGAGACATACAAACTCACAACCAACTGCCAACTGACTAGAATTATACAGTCGAGTGGCTAGACCTCCATCCATTGGACATTACCGAACACCTGGAACCGTACCGAAAGAACAAGAATCGAGCGCGAAGAAATCAAATTGGTTTACACTAGCTCGTGAAAAAGATATTGGATATTGGAAATGGAGCGGCTTTTCCAATCAGTGCGCTACTATTATGCTGGTAGGTCGATGGGCTGCAATTTTCCAAAGTTACATCCGATCGCGTTTCTATACAACGCGTGTTTTACCTATATGCACTTCATAGATGTTCATTATCTCAGTTCTTTGTGTTGTGATTGTCTAGCTGTGGTTTGTAGGTCACTGAGTTGTTCATGCATGAACTGCTTCGGTACAACTAATGTTTTTAGCATGAAAACAACTAGTCGTAACCCTTTAAATCTTCTCTCTTCACGTTTTCCCAAATAATGATCCGCATTCGTATCATTTTTTTACTACGAAAGGTATATTCGATAAAACTGAGGTCACATAATTCGTCTCGGTATGTTTGATTTCCAAATAAAAAGAATGGTAGAAGTGTGTGAGACTGACAACATAAATTTTGATCAGCCTACCTCAAAACCCTCATTAAAAAAACCACGATGTCTATTTATCTTGCGATAATAGTTATCCTACTGGTTTCTTAATTTGAATCTGAACGTATATTTGCGTGACAGTGATGCTCTAAGTTCTTGGAAGATAATAGAAAAAAGGCTGTGTTTCCAAAAGTTTCCTAATGCAGTTTGAAGTTGCTCTAAACATCCTTAGAGTTACGATCTCACTTGACTATATTTTGGAAAGGAAATCCAAACCTGGGTAATGTTAGGTATTTTTGTTCCATTTTTCTAAAACGTTTCAATGGGACTCTCAAAATTATTTAGTCCAGTTCCAAATATGGTAGTTTGTGAACAAGAGCTCCGTAAGGATTATCGGAGATCAGTTTAATCGGGAAGTAAATCATTGTCATTTTAGTTAAGGTATCGGATTCTGAAACGCCTAAACCATGAGTATGAATGTCATTAATGCGTCTAGTACTTGGCCGTTAGATATGCGATTTTCGGTCTTCCAAATCAGACTTTTATAATTTAAATATGATTAATGGCCATTTTTATTTACCACGATCCAATACGAAGCCGGTATCTAAAATAATAATGGTGCAAAACATTATTTACTTGCTAAGTTGTGTTGAGTGTTTCAAAGGCACTATTGTTAAGACTTATTCATTTCTTTTGAGCTTCTGCCAATCACAATGTCTAGGTTTTAAATTTGATCGGACAAAGTTTGTCTAGTAGTTTATAGAGTTGTGTTGAGAGTTTTATTATGACTAGTCAGTCAGCTACGATGTAGAATTTCGTACGTACGTACATCAGTTCAAGACTCAATACCACATTACCACAGAGAGAGCGAATCGTCTATTCGAATTCCATGGCAGTTGAGATTAAAAAAGTATGAGCAGTGGTCTAAGAAGAGTAGGGTTCGAGGATTTTATTCAAGAAGTAGAATATAGTGAATAAAGCTTAAAAAATAAAATGATGAGGAATTAAGATGTTCAGGATTGGAGAGAACACAAACAATGAATACACCTGCTCCATTGCAAACGGTTTCGAGCCATATCATTCAAGGTCGCTAGTTATCGATTACCATTATCTCGCGGGCCCCAACCAGGTAGTTTACACTTACCAACCTAACTGAATCCACTTGTCAGTGACTTCATGGATTTGTGCCATGTTTTTGTTTGGCCGCCACTAGCCTTCCGACCTACTCCGACACCCCAAAACATTGCGTAGATTGACTGAGATCTTAGGTAGAATTTGAGAACTTGGCGTAATCCCATCTGATTGGTTTTAATCACTGACTGTCTCAGTCTAAAAAAGGGAGAAAAATCTCTTGTGAAAATCACAGAGAAATCAGTCTAACTAATGTAAGGTCTACAATGTTAGCTTCAATATTAATTTGACGCCTAAACAGAGCTCGTGACGAGCAGGCACGAGAAAACCAGGCTGGTTTCCTACCTGGACGTGGATGTATAGACTAAAGAGAACTATGTCATTGTCATACTCCAAGTCAATGGCTAAAGTAAACAAGAATGGAGAAAGTGATCAGCCTTAATGAACACCACTGATGACAGATCACCATAAGTTCTCACTCGATAAGTAGTGTTCGATTAGATCGCATGTATAAGGTAATGTACTTCTTTGGTACATCCTTCAGTCATATACTCCTATAGAACCTCAAGACCGACAGTCAAATGCCGCCGTGAGGTCTAGTAGTACAATTATAGTGGGACGTTAAAATGTGTGTCTATGTTTCAGGACCTGATAATATGTGAATATCTGGTTCATACACCAGCCTGGTTTTCTCGTGCCTGCTCGTCACGAGCTCTGTTTAGGCGTCAAATTAATATTGAAGCTAACATTGTAGACCTTACATTAGTTAGACTGATTTCTCTGTGATTTTCACAAGAGATTTTTCTCCCTTTTTTAGACTGAGACAGTCAGTGATTAAAACCAATCAGATGGGATTACGCCAAGTTCTCAAATTCTACCTAAGATCTCAGTCAATCTAACTGCTAAAACTGGACCACTGTCCCTAAAAATCTCAAGGGTAGATCTATCAGGTCCTGCTGCTCTCCCTCGCTTCAAATTTCCTATAGCCTTTTCAACTTCATGAATAGTGTGAAAACTCATCGATTTGCCATTCAGGATGATTAGAGATCGTGAGCAACCAAAATCTGGCAAACGGCCAATTGAACTGATCTCTAAAGTGTTCTCATCTATCTAATCTCCTGGATTGAGAATGAATAATGGTCCCATCCTTTTCTGAGATTGCTTCGCTAACAGTATGATTCGTAATACCGGTTTCCTTGATGTCTGCATAGTTGTGTAGTGTTAACTATCGCCACTACCTTTTCCATCGCTCTTGCTTTAGTTACTCACCAGTGTTCGCGATTAATGCGTAGGCTTTTTATCAGTCTGCGCCCTAAGCTGACTCCGCTCCTCATCGCACTCAGAGCCAGTCGGGATGAGTTTGCGAGCATCCATCAGTGGGTTAGGTTATCAAGTCCTGTTGAGATTAGTTTCGACTACTTTTGCATCACACACTTTGATGTTGATCACCCAGTCACAGGACAAAACTACCAATTTCGTCTTATCTTTACTCTTTCCGCGTTATTTATATTCATGAATTCGTCCTAGCTGTGTTAATTGTTTATATATAACACATCTAATCTTTACCTCTTTAGATAGAGTTCTTCTGTAAACTTTGGATAATCTGTGTATGGATGTAGTAAAAAGTTTGCTTCTGTTGATTTTATTTGTTGGACAGTCAACTTTTTCAGAAAGTAACTTCCAAATCTCCATAAAATTATCTACTATTTTATTGACAAATCAATGCATGAAGCATATGGTAATTAAAATACTTAAGATGCAAACTCATATAACTAAGCACTCTCCATGAATGTTTTTTAAAGTCTGTTCATTTTGTTAATTTTATTTGAAATCAGAGCTTTTTGGGCCTTGGTCAAAATGCTGACATTAAAGTGAACTTACAAGATGGGGAACATAGAAAAAAGGAAGAACTTAGGAGTGAAGATGGGCAAGTCCACTCACTCCCAGTTTACTATGATGGGGAAAACGTTTGTGGATCTGTAACTGTTACTTTGAAAAGAGGTGGAAAACTTGAGCATCAAGGAATAAAAATTGAATTTATTGGCCAAATCGAATTATATACAGACCGTGGGAATCGCGAAGAGTTTATTTCTCTCTGTCAAGATTTAGCCCGTCCCGGAATACTTTCTCATTCAAAAAGTTATCCATTCGAGTTCTTACGTGTTGAAAAACCCTACGAATCATACTGTGGTACAAATGTCCGTTTGAGGTAAATTTGATATAACTCCTTATACACAACAGGTATTTTTTACGAGTTACTATTCATAAAAGAATCGCTGATGTCACAAAGGAATTTGAACTCATAGTACATTCTACAATGAGATGTTCAGAATCGAGTGATAATATACAAATGGAAGTTGGGATAGAAGATAGTTTACACATTGAATTCGAGTACAATAAGTCAGAGTATGTTGTTCTTACTTCACGTTTAACAGTATAGATATCATTTACAAGATGTTATTATTGGGAAAATATACTTCCTACTGGTTAGAGTCAAAATAAAAAATATGGAGATACAGATATTAAAGCGTGAGACAATTGGTGCAGGTGGGTTTGTCACAGGATCATTTATTATTCACAGGACCTACTCCTTTTACGACAACTGAGACTGTTGGGAAATATGAGATAATGGATGGTGCGCCAGTACGTGGCGAGTCAATCCCTATCAGATTGTTTTTGCATGTTTATGGCTTGAGTCCAACTATGCGTGATGTTTATCGCAAATTTTCCGTGCGCTATTTCCTAAACTTAGTGCTGTTAGACGAAGAGGATAGACGATATTACAAGCAACAAGTAAGTATGATATCTCTTTATGTGTGTTATATCAATACACCATTCATGGTGGCGTTTCCTTCTCTGAGACGGACAGTTTGGTCGTGGATCTTTCTTTGTTCTTCTGCACACCATCAACACAAACTCCCACTTGAAGCTCTAGACATTGCTTTTGAATTAGGATATCACAAATCCCCCAGACGGACTCACCGACCCAGTTCAAGCCCCAGATATCCTTTTTCAACCCATCGCTTTCGTAAAAACACTTGCAGTGTGAAGAACTTCTATAACAACGGATAAAAAACTCATGGCCATATGGAAGCGTTTTGAGAGATAGAGTAGACACTTCTTACCCTCGAGCATGCTTAAGGACAAAAATTAGGATGCAGTTGGATATAATAAGGTTCAACACTAGTCATACATAATACAATGCTTTTATCTCACTGTTCATTTTATGCAGCCTAGATGTTTTTCTGATAAGGCAGACAATAGCTTAATCTATTGGAGTGCAGATTATATATGAAATCGATTTTTTTCTAATCGTGTTTGATATGTATTCACATGATTGACGATCTTTAATTGTATAAATGGGGCAGATAACTGCTCATCTAGTAAGCTATTAAATTATTACTGTTAAATACAAGTGCGTTGAATTTATACAAATCTATTAACCTAACTACGAATAAATATAAAACTTCATATATTCCTAAATCATTTTCGATTCATTTCGTAAGTAAAATGAATCATTTTCACTAGTCTTTGGATTTGCATTTTACGCCTTCTCTTTGTACAAGTTGCCATACAGATTTAGTCTGGGGTTATTAGAAGCGGACAGGATCGAACGTTCCTTTGCAAAACTTACCAAGTTTATAAAAAATTAGCTGTTCAGACTAGTTTTTATTACTTTTAGTGTACGTAATAATATACATCTTCCCAAAAAATTTTTAAATCAGCTTGTAATAATAAGATCAAAATTCTTCTCATTTAGGAAATTATACTGTACAGAAAATCTGATCGTCGACTTAAGGCTTATGTGCAACAGATTTCCGACAAAGGACTTGAAACTAACGAAAATGGGACCAGTGAGAAAAATGAGGCCTATACTGATAAACTGGATGAACAAGCAAACCTCCAAACCCCCGCAAAGGTAGGTATATTGTATTCACGATAACTGGAAACAGTTAGTAATTAAAACCAATTTTTAAATGAAGAATAACGTCATATGATTGTTTTATTCCTTTTAATAGGATCCAGAATCAGACAGTGCAGGTTCCGACGTGGCGATTAATGAACATGAAGATACTAACGCAGATAGTTCAAAGTTATTCACTAATTCCAGTTCTACTGGCAACGAATGTGCGATAAATAAACTTACTGATGGTGAAGAGGATAGTGATAGTTGCGATTCTTTTTCACCTCATACACGTGCAGCCAGGAGTATGCACCGTTATGAACCCAAACAGGTTCACAAGCATACAGAGTCATCAACCGTTTGTGTCCTTCCAAATGAATCACCTGTGTTTGTTTCCAGTGTATCAAGTACGCCGAGTTCAAAATAAAGAAAATAGTTTGTACTTAGCATGTCTAATCCACATTACACTTTGCTCGTCAAATTCAGTCCTAGTCAAAATTATTCCGGTAGACTCTTAAACCTAAAAAAAATGCTGTGATACGTTAGGCGTCAGTTAATCATTTGCATTTCTATTGTTTAATCAAAGTTGGATGAACTGAAAGTAACTCATTCATAATTTATTTGTCTTTCGCTATATAAAACAATCAGTTTATCATGTCTTACTTAGAAGCTGATAATTAACAATAATTTAGTGTCGACTGTATTGAATTTCGCATTTTTGTCGCTGTTGATCACAACTTCACTCACTAATTTTTATCGGGAATATTAATTCATTACTTGAATTTTGTTCATAATTTTATAAATTTCACATAACACAATTAATTGATTTCAACAATAAAAATAAATTTTTTTATTAATAAAAAGAAAGAAAAAATAATACTAATAAATCTTTAAAACAGATAATTTGATGAATATTTTCATTTAGTAAGTTAAATTAGTAAAATAAATCACAAGGTTTACAGCTTCCGTCAATATCGATGAGGATTAAACTATACGTGATTTTGAGCATAAAGGACATTTTGTTTCTCTATTAGGCAAACAATCCCCATGACAGACATGATTACAGTGGAAAATTGCCCATGCACAATGATTTTCCGCGTCAGCCTGACTATTGATATCACACTTTAATTGGTTTACACTTCGCCATGATTGTCCGTTATTGTTCATTATGGGTTGTAAACACACTGTACATCCAACAGAAGACCAAGCACCCGAATTCACACGAACTCCTTTCATTTGCATTTTGATAACACGTAAAAATAACTGATGCATATCCGAAGATAAAATGCGTGAACAGCTTTTTTGTAGTTCAAGTTGAATCTAAAAACGTAAATATTATTCATCTTACCGTAAAAAGTAGACAAACAAAACCGAAGTTGACACACTAAAGAGAAAATGTTCAGAAGTGAATAATATCTGGTTTTGTTGAAGCTTAATTACACGTAGATTGTAACTCAATGATGTTAACCTATAGTACTTTGAAAATCAAATTTTTACTGTCTCAAACAATTAAATGTAAGCTTCCGAGCTGTTTTGTTAGTTCATCATACTGTATCATAAAATTTATTTAGTGACTGCAGAAGGTACTATGTATACCATTCGGTTTGATATATGGTAAGTAGTTTTCTATGATAATCAGTTGAAGCCTTTTAGGGTCTAACAAAAATAATTCATTATATCACCGAAAATATAAAGACAATTCGAGGAAGGAAATTTTCTTTTTCATGATATTTGCTGAAGCTATATGGTCTTATAGTGGCTTAGCAATTTAAATAAAACACTTGAATATCGAGATAATATAGTTTTAAAGTCGTTTAAACTGCAATAAATATCGTTGCTAGAAAACTGAGAATAAAATACAACAACATAATACATTTTAAAGAAGTTTAGGTCATTTTTATAAAGTTTTGTTAATGAATGATTTATGAAGGATAATTTAAGTCTATATACAGATAATGTATTAATTATAGTTCAGATGCTTTGTTTATAGAACATTTGAACATTTAAGTTTGTACAATTATTTAATGAGCTTTAAATGACAAGTTACCTACCTTGTAATCATGCATAAGCTTAACAAGTGCATCACGAAGTCCAGGTATAGTCATATCCGGTGATATTTTGCGAAGTAGCAAGCGTGAATCAAGACCTTCACAGCCTGCATTTTGTAGTAATGCACATATGAAAGCAGGCTTATCTGCCGCAAATAAAATAACCTGTTGCCATAATTCACCAGCATTTTCATCACCTTCGTCTTCATCACAATCCTTGTTGAAATTCAAATTATTCATACTGCGATGTCGATGGAAAGGGCGGCGATTTTTTGATTGAATACCATCTTCCTCTCGGCAGTATTCAATCGATTTCGCAGCAGCTATAGCTTGGCGTTGTTCTTGAGTTGTGGACTCTTCAAGTGATGAGTCTTCACCACCCTGTGTTGTGAAATTCGAAAAGCGCGTCGATAAAACAAATATTGTCTAACAGAAATCAGATATTTCATTAACAAGACTATGTAAGTTGAATAAGACAATCGTTTTTTTCGTAAGCATGATGTCTGAAGTAAAAAGGCGAAATAGGCTGTGTAAAATTTGGATTGGAACTTCTTTCCAACTTCCATTGTCGTTTGTGCTGTTAAACCAGAACAAATATCGAAAGAATTGTAACTTCCCATCATTTGGTAACAGTGATTTCAAGTTGATTATATGGTTTTCATACAAGAAAAATGCTCTGTGACTATGTACAAACATCTTGTGGCGAATAATCAGCTGTCACTTACAACTAGTATTGTATCACAACTTAACAGTCTACGATCCAGTTCGAATACAAGACTAAGATCGGAAAAGTAATAGTGTTACTGATTCGTGCTTTAAAAATACGAGATCTTTACTATTCAGAAGCTTAATTCGAAAATCATAATCCAAAAGCATAACCATAACTATATCAAATGTGAAAACGTTTAAAAAGCTTCGCAATGTGTTGTTGCTTCTTTTACACGAGAGGTTGAACATTTTGCAAATACCTTTTCGAAATCGTTTGTAACATTTCTTGAAGGGCAGTAATTGATCACAACAACATTATTCTAGGTGTAGTTATATTATGGATTAATACAACCGGGTAATATTAACTGTGTATTATATGGGAATGAATTCTTGAACTATATAGTATCGGACTTTAAAACTGCATTCTGTTTATCTGGGTAGGACAAGGGATGTGTGTTTCCAAAGTTTGCAAAAACTAAGTACATTTATACTAATTAAAAATAAATGACCAAAAATAGACATTTACCCTTGTCATAATTAACTGCAAAGCATCATGACGTCTTCCAACTCTGGTTAGCAAATAAACAGTTTCTGGTACAAGTTTCGCACGTTCGCATAGCCTAAGGGCTTCACTTAGAGGATAACGATCTGTGGATTTTAACAAAGGTAACAATTTGCTTCGACAAAATTCGATGTAAAGGGAAATAAGACGAATTAGATATGGGCCAATAATTTGTGGATATCGATAGTACACACTGTCTAAAAACTGAGGAAAAACATGCATTTAGAAAGCTGTATATACACGCTATATATATATATATATATATATATATATATATATATATATATACATGGGTAAAAACAGAGAATTAATGTAGAAAATGGAAATTCGATGTAATAGTCATTACATTGCTCGAAGTCCAACCAGTCAGTTTCATGTTCAGTCAGTCAGTTATAACGTACAATTTCGTACGTACGTACATCATTACAGGTTGCCATACCACATTAGTAGAGAGACGCAATTGTCACTTCAAATCCCATAGCAGTAGCGATAGTTGGAGGATTACCAGGTAGTCTCATAAGATTAGGGTTCGAAAATATTATTCAAAAAGTAGAACCTAGTGAATAAAGCTTGAAAATACAAAGATAAAGTGATGAGGAATTAAGAAGTTCTGGATTTGGGAGAACACAAGGAATGAATACATCTGCGCCAATGCAAACGGTTTCAAGCCATGTCATACAGGGTCTCCAACCATCGATTTCTATTATCTCGCGGGCCTCAACCAGGTAGTCGACACCTACCGACATGACTCAGTCCACTTGTCAGAGATTTCATGGATTTGTGCCATGTTTTTGTTTGGTCACCCCTAGGTTTCTTGCAACCTATTCATACATCACAAGACATTGCTTAGATTGACTGAGGTTCAAGTTATAATCTGACCTGCCACTTTTACCTAGGACCCGTTTCCTAATTTTAGCATTGATTACTCGGATGTCCCAGGATATACGAGCAGTACTTCGAAGACCTATAAATATCTTCTACTATGACTTGCCAGGTTTCACAGCGAACTGCTGCGCAGTACACTGGATATCTCGCCTATACCACAAGTGACGCATGTTGGCAAAAGCTAACCGAGCCTTCTGTATCCACGCTGAAATTTTGTCAGTTACCAGGCCATCAGCAGTGATGAGACTCTCCAGATAAGTGAAGCGGTCTACACGCTCAACTACTTCACCCACTATCACTACTTCAGGTACCGATGCAAGCCAATCTTAAAGCAACACTTTTCATTTTGGAGAGGGGAAACAGCGTCCCAAACATTACATTGTTGCTTAGGGTGGTCAGAAGGCAGTGCATTTTGTTAGGGTCTTCACTGAGTAGAACTATGTGATCAGCATATTTTAAGTCAACAAAAATGATCATCACGTACGTCGTTGCTTAGTGTTTTTCTAATTGCTCCTGTGTCAGGATATTCATAAAAATATCCCAAAAACTATCCTGCTAAGACTAATTCTATCATCAAACGTAAGATCGTATGTTTTCAGACTTTCCGCATACTTCACATTTAGTTTACTATTGGTCAATATTAACGGCCGGCCTAGATGTATAAATATGCATTGTCTGTAAAATTCCAGGCTGTATTATGACACCGTAAACAATTTTTTTTTATTTGTGTTCTGATATATTGGGGATTCAGGAAACAGAATTTGCGGACATACTAGAATATCTGCGGTTGGTCAATCGGTAGAATATTAAATATCTACTTTGTTGACCACAATATATTCTTAGTTTTGTTATGATTAAGTAGAATCTGAAAACGTTTCGTTGTAGTGTCACCCCTACGTCAAAGAGGCCTCAAACAAATACGCGCGCGCAAAAGAGCATGGTCTGAATCTAAACATGTGCTCCAGAATGAGCGGCAGTCTTCAGCAGAGCCTCTCGACCGATGTGGTGTAGTTGGTTCCATCGTAAGGATGACTTTGAGGGTTGCTAGGTCGAACGATGTTTTTCCCTACGCTCAAAGTCAGTGATGCAAGAAACATACGATTATCTGGACATAGCTGCGGCAAGTAGTCACCATTATCTGATCTTCGAGCCCCGATACATTGGATACATTTGAAAAACGTGAGCATGATAAGTTCATCATCGGAGACCAATATTATTGAGCTACAGAATGCTTTTTATCTTCCTTATAAGGATCTTGTAATACCGGGTATATATTCTTTCCGACTGAAATGAGAAATTTGAAAACACTCTTTCATGACTTGAGCAAGGGAAAATGAAGTAGTCCAGTGATTGCAGACAAATGGACAACAGTATCTGAAGAAAGGATACAAAAGATGCAGACATGTCAAGTTTCGAAATGCGACTATGATCAGTGGCGCAGGTGCATCCATTCTTTGGCATTTCACTGGATTATACTTCTTGAATAATACCTTCAAACCCTAATCTTTTCGATTACTACTTTTACTTCTAAAACTATGGGATTTGAATTAAAAATTGCATCTCTGTGGTAATGTGATATTGCAGCTTGAATTGATGTACGTACGTACGAAGTTCTACGTTGTAACTGACTGACTGGCTGAAATTGATAAAAGCAACCATCTAACATGATCATTTAGTTGGACGAAAATAGAAGACTTCGCCTATTTATAAAGTTAACTGCGTCTTCGTAAACTTGCAATTCTAAAACACTATCAACAAAGTAGACAATTTTATCCATGAATAAAACAAAGCGATAGATTATTCAGTATGTCAAAATTTAGCCAGAATAATTAATTTTAAAATATGCTCACTTACTTGATAAAGTAACATAGAATCTGAATTCAGTTGATTGACTACGTAATCAATCTATAAACAAATTTCAGAAAAGATTAACTTTTTCAAATGACAGTTGATGTTTAAGAAGTGAATAAAATTATCTTCATTATGATAAATCAAAATATTAATGGAAACTTTCTTTTTTCATCATTTCATAGACTTTCCGACCAAGAACAGACTGTTGTATAAATGATTCAAAATTTTCTTGTCTATAAGAATGACCAAATTGGTGGGTTACATAGTGTGTAACACTGTATACTGTGATTTTATACACTGTTTATATGCGTGAATTTCGACCTTATACTATAACTGATGTCTTTAAAATGATTTTGATAGAACAGTGAGAAGACGTAATTGATCTGATCAATTACGTCTTCTCACTGTTCTATCAAAATTTATAAAAGGGACTAATTGTTTTAAATTTTTAAAATGATTGTCAAGTGACAAAATAAAAAAAATATTAATCAATTAAATCATTAATAATGATTATTTCGTCCTACTGTTCATTGATAAATATATAAGTCAATGAGAACATACTGAAAATTCTAAAAATGTATAAAAATAGTTATTCTATCGTTAATTCATTTAAAATACCTACAAATAATTGGTTAGTATCATTAACTAAAAGTCGGTTACTAGTCAGTATTCCGCGTCAAGAAAGGTAACCCGATCGATAAATCATGATCATAAAGCAGGGGATACAAATTGGAATTCTTTGTAGGTCATAATAGGTGAAAGTTGTATTATTTGGTCAGTATAAATAATCTACATTTATACAATACACTCAACTAACAAAGAAAGTAAAATTTTACTTTAAGTAAAATCACCACTCTATACAAAGAAAAAACAACACTTTATCGTGTGTTAACAGTCAGACAAAATAGAATGGCCGGTGCATTTAGATATCAGTCATACAATTAGTAAACTAAAATTGCTTTTCTAAAATAGAAATAATACCGTTCAAGTCCAAAGACAGTTTAATTAACAGACCTATTATATCAATTATAAGTATGAATTATATGAAGCTAATGAAGATTCAAACATGAAACCCAAGGTCTGAACGCAAAGTCGTACTGCTGACTGTAGAGAGGTGTGACAGCAGTAAGGTGTTTCTCTCAGTCAACCGGCATCTGCAGCGATGCTGACTTACCACAAGGAAGGAACGGTTATAAAAGGTCAACACTAAAAATGTCACACCTCACGGATTTCCAACTCCTAGGATGTTGAAGGATGGTGGTCCTGTTTCAGCAGCTAGATTGACTGAGATGTTGGGCATAATCTGGAAAATAGGCGTAATCTCATCCAATTGATCTCAATCACTGACTGTCCCAGTGTAAAAAGGGAAAAACTTCATCTTGGGACAATCACAGAGGAATCAATCTAACTAATATAGTGTATAAAATGTTAGCTTTAATATTGCTTTGACGCCAAAACGGAGCTCGTGAATAGCAGACTAGAGAAAACTAGGCTGGTTACAGACCACGTTTGTAGACTACAACAGATCCTGGAACACGGACACATATATAGGCGTCGGATGATAATTGTCTTCCTGGACCTAAAAGCGGCATTTGAATCTGTGGATCGTGAGGTTCTATGGAAGTGTCTGTCATTAAAATGTGTACCAAGGGAGTACACTAAACTTACACAATCTCTCTACTCTACTGATCGAGTGAGAGCTTATGGCGAACTGTCATCGGAATTCATTACTTCAAGTGGTGTCCGTCGGTGCTGCGCCCTATCTCTATTCCTGTTCATCTTTGTCATAGACATGCTTTTATAGCTAACATTATCTTCGTCTGACTTTTCAGGAGTGGATGTTTCACCACGACATTCACTGGTTGACTTAGAATATGCCAATGACATGGTTTTACTTGGTGAAGACACTGATAAAATGCAGTGTCTCCTGACTACCCTAAGCAACAGTACAATCATGTTCAGGATGCGTTTTCCCCCCTCGAAATGCAAACTGTTGCTTCACGATTGGTTAGTGTCGGCACCTGAATTAGTGATATGGAGTGAAGTAGTCGAGAGTGTTGACCGCTTCACCTATCTGGAGAGTCTCATAGCTGCTGATGGTCTGGTAACTGACGAAATCTCGGCATGGATACAGAAAGCTCGATCGACTTTTGCCAACTTGCATCACTTGTGGCGTAGGTGAGATATCCGTTCGCTAACGAAAGGACTAGTCTACTGCGCAAAAGTCCGCTCCGTCCTACTATATAGACGCGAAACACGGCCAGTCTGGGTAGAGGATTTTCGTAGGCTACTGGTTTTTGATCACAGGTGTCCTCGAAGCATCGCTCGTGTATCGAGGGACAACCGAGTAGAGAATGCTGTCGTTAGGAAACAAGTACTAGGTATGGATGGCAAATCAATTAAGGAAGTATTGAAACTTCATCAGTTGAGGTGGTTGGGACATGTGTTACGTATGCCCAACCACTGACTGCCTCGTCGAGCTATGTTTTGCGATGTAAACATTTGTTGGAAAAAAGTTAGGGGTGGCCAAACCAAAACATGGCACAAATCCATGAAGTCACTGACAAGTGGACTGAGTCATATTGGTAGATTTGGTCCACATTGTTGGTTAGACACTTTGAACGATATGTCTCAAAATCGTTTGGAATGACGCAGGTGCATCCACTTTTTGTGTTCCATGAAATTCTAATCTTTTGAATTCTTCATCATCTCTGTCTTTCTCTTTCTAAATTTATTTCACTGACTTATAGTTATTGAATAACATCTTCGAACCCTAATCTCATTAGATTACTGCTAATATTTCTACAACTGTGTCTCTGTGCTAATGTGGTATGGCAACCTGAAGTAATGTACGTATGTTAGAAGTTCTAGGTTGTAACTGACTAACTGAACCAAGAGAAATTAATTGAAAGATTGTTAAATCATACCAGAGAGATGAACACAAGGTGCAAAGAGAAATAGTTATTGATTTCCTGATCCAACTTAAATATAGCAGATATAGTAATGTCGACGGGTACCTTAACAATAATATCTAGTAATAATCACAAGTACGCTTTAGGAAACAGATATTCACTTCAATCAGTTGATGTATACGAAAAATACAGTATCAGTAATGAATATTCGATTGGCATTCGCTAATATTGTTATGAAAGGATACTACTAGGCACTATAATATTATTATTATTATGCTTTATACAGAAAAGAAAACATCAACTTCTGTAATTAACATGTGAAATAGTGTTCAAAAAAAATTTTAAAACAATTGAAACAATACCAATACGTAAATAGATGATTAAATTTATTTACTGAAACTTGATCAATATGATCCATTAACATATTAATGGTTTTGGTTGTATTCAACTCCATGAAATAAATCAAATGATCTTTTAATATATCCACTAGACGACGATCTTTAAGCTTGATAATATTACGTTTTAAAAAAGTGAACACTTCTGGATCGTGTAAACGAACTAATATATTGATTGCTTGTTCATACGATTCCATTTGTTCATAAATTATTGCTAAACCATGATATAATGCTTGTTTGTTTATATCTAATTTAGTTAGATCAACAGTTTCTAGAAAAACAACGAGAAAAGAAAAAGGATAATGATTCACATAAAAAGACGATCAATAAATAAACTAATTAAAAATTAAGGAAAAAGAACAGTAATATGAGGCTTAACAATTTCAAGTAAACATTTATAATCTATACACAGTCCACAAAGTCAACATAAAGATAATAATCGACTGATAATAATGGAAAAGGTTAGTGCTAGTTAGCAAACTAAACTCAAATTTCATATTTGAACATAAAAAGACCTTGAATTTTGAAGTTGAATTTCATATGGAGTTTCAAGTACACACCAAAAGCTTACACAAAACAGCTGATAAACTCTACTTGCTTTTTAAATAATTCTTCAACTGACATCAATTCATGTTAAAAAATCATATTTAAATTCGATAAACACTTGGATAAATTGCATTATTTAATTATTGAGTGATGATGATGAGTTTGTTTTGTTTTTTTTCGTACATAAAATTAATCATACTTATTTTGTGCTACCCGAATTTGGAAATAATAATCGCAATTGTTATTAGTTAAGTTTATTAAATTAATGGTGATTTGATCTAGCATCCAATCATTTGTCGAGATAGGAATCCATTAACAAGTTGATCATCGACTTGTTAAATAACAAAATGACTAATTAATCGATTAGTGATTGACTGTGCGATGGTTTTTGGTTCATCATAATATATACATATATATATATATATATATATCACTAAATTAACTGGATGATAAGTAGACATAATTCTTTATGCTATTCTTTTCAATATTATTCAATTACAATCTCTTACAACTCTCATTCTCAATTGAACACTTTACTGAATCAGTTACTCGTTGAATAATTTCCTGTTGAGAGAGTAGCTGTAGTTCCATGTTTCAAACAGTTGATCATAAGTTAGAACAATATATTTCAATTATAAAATATCATAAAATGAATTATTACCATTTGACATCAAGTTAAAAACTTTTGGTTCATAGTAGGATTAACAAAATGAGTACAATCTACTGAAATGTTTTGAACTTTAAATGATTTTTAAAAAAATACTAACATTTCAACTATCATCATTCACATGCTTTAAGTTTCTTCCATCAACACTCCCATAAATAATAAAATAATTAGAGCGGTTCTCAGTTCATTAAACAGACTATTCTGAGATAATTTTTTTTTATTTAACCTTAGCAAAATAATTCATAGTTATCAACAAGAATAAAGCATACATATGGAAGAAACTTAATATTTTTTCTTTTTATTAACAGTTTGAACGTAAAGAATTCCTAATGTCTTTTTTTTCAATCATTAAGCACAGTTGAGAATACGAGTAGTCAAAAACTTGATATGAGCTTTTTTTAAATCTACATAAAATAAATTAAATGAAGAATTATTCCAACAAGAAATAATATTATCCTAAGTGAGAACTGATCATACGATCTATTGATAGACGTATATATTTCTTATTTACTTGAGTCTCTAGGACTTATTTCGTTGGTCCACTCATTTTATGAAGTAACTTAAACCTATTTGACATTATTCCATGTTTTAACTGTTACACTACCGGTATGTTTATTAGATTGGTTATCGAAGATAAATTCAAAGCCAAATAGTTAATTACACACTCAGCAAAAAAAATTTACGAAATAAAATTTTTGCATGGAAAATAATTGAGTAGTAAGTGCTAACTCGTAGACAGTAAGTAATAGGATATAAATAGTTTAAATATAATTAATTAAAAAAACTTTGTATTCACTAAACATAAATTTAATTGACATAAAAATAAAAATTAATATTAGAAATCTTACCAGATAGAGAACTACACTGTCCAATACAATCTAATAAAGTGCGAAGAAGATTTTCACTAATAACAATTAAACCTGATTTACACCATTCAGTTAATAATTCAACAAATTGAATCGGTATTCGATTCATGTAATCGATTAGAATTAATTCATATATGGAAGAATTGAGTTTAATAGATTTCTCTTCACCACTCACAGGTAGATATGGTACAATAGCCTGGAGTGTAGAAATAGCACAAGTAAAAAATACGATAATTAAACCAGGAAGGAATTGCTCAAACTAACTATTTTATTTATTCGTATATTCAAAATGCCTATGACAGATTACTGATAGGTAAAAACGAAATTAGATGTAAACATATTAGAAGATTGATCATTAGGATGGATGTTTCTCTATGTGACACTTTTTATTTATATAATGACATTGACTGAACCTACTGGAACGATCATTAAAAACGGTTGAAATGTTTTACTGCGGTAATTTAAGGACTGTTAGTGAATGTATATCAAGGTATTTTTAACAGATACTAATTGTTTGAAGTTTTACAAATCTGATGGTATTTTCTAACATATGCAAAGTTTAGTGAGATATATAGTGTAGTTGGAAACAATCATTGTAATTATTGTCTATTTTCGCTTTCAGTCAAATTCTGTTATTTCTTTTTAGCTTATCCATCTACATGTCTTTAATTATTCCATTAGGAAAAAACACTTTTTAGATAAATTGATTTTTTGTGAAAAATCAAGACTTTTTATGCATGTTACAATGTTTCAATAAAATGGAAAGTAGGCTCTAACTGTATGCCAAAATGATATTAACTGCAACATAGTCTCTATGTTGATAACTTCCATTCTATCTTTCTCTCTTAAATAACAATAAAAGAGATTATTCAAACATAATTATTAATATGAGTGCAAAAATCCAACGGAAAGTGTTTGAAGAACAATGTAACAAAAAAAAAAACAGTAGTTTAACAAAAAAATTATCACCTCTAAATGACCAATATTTGAGAATTTTTGAACTTGTTCTTCCCAAGCTTCTTTAGTTGATAAAACCTGTGCACAAAGTATTCCAGCTCCAATGAAATGACGTTCACTTAGTAAATGATCAATATAAGTTATTCCAACTGACTATTAAAAAGGAAGTAGAACAATATAGTGAACAAGACAGTATAAATAAGCATTATTGAACATTTACAGTTTGAATGAATTCAGTGAAGTGATAATTTAGAAAAAGAGGAAAATAAACAAAATGTTAACGAATTTCTAAATTAGTTTCATGCACAATAAACAATGCACTTGAAAAAAAGGCATTTAAAATTATGTATGATTAGAGTGATGAATATATTTATTAATTACTATGCTCATTAAAAATTTACGAGTTAGTGAGTTATGATATCTCATGATAAAAGCCAAGTTTCTTCAGAAGTCACGAGACCGAAGCCCCTTCTGACAACGAGAGCAACCATTCTGTATAAACACAAAGTTCAGAAGGACAATGAAGGATGTAAGAACCAAGAGAGGAGCTGATATTGCCTTAGACCACAGCTTGCTGGTCGGCAAAATGAAAATGAAACTCAAGAAGCACTGGACAATGAGGCGCACAACATCACAAACGTTTAATACGGCTGTTCTTCGGGTACTGAAAAGCTCAGTGAATTCAAGATAGCCCTCAGCAATAAGTTCCAGGCTTTTCAAGATCTACTCAATGGAAAGAAAACAACTATGCAGGACACTAGTGCCCAGTAAAAAAATAATTTTTGATTACACTTACTTGAACTGTATGACGAGTCAACAATCGTGGATGTTCTTGAGCGACTTCAAGTGCTTTAGAAAATAAATTATTTTCAAGGAACCAATCAACACGGTCATCAATAGTTAGTTCTTGTACACAGAGTAATTCTTTTCTTGAAAAAATATAGTGTGTATTTTCATGAGGCACACTAGCTAACAAATAAATGTGAATAGAAAACACAGAATGAGTTGATTTATTTAAAAAATGTATTTTCACTTTAAAATGTAACAGAAAAATTTAAAAAGGTTCTAATTTGTCTATATACTCGCTAACCGGTAGGGCAGTAGGATTTTCCAATTAAATAATTAGATTTATTATTCAACTAAACAAAAGATTGAGCACCGGATATTATACTTTGTAAATATTGGTACACAAGTGACGATCAACGATTGAGAACTACACAACAGATCAGAAACACAAATTATCAACCGTGCGAAATCTGATTATGATTACCCTGAAATCAATTTTGTACATTCAACAAAAATCTACACACTAAATATAAGCCCGACAAATCTGTATTCGTTCATCAATGAATCAGAGCACACTTCAACTTATTTTAAACATTTTACAGAATAAATTTATTAGATCAAGGATAATAGCCACAGTTACACTAGCTGAAAATAATCGAAGTACATAGTAGCTTACAGATGCACATGTAAATTCTATTCCACAAGTGAAAAGATACTTAATTACTTAGCCTGTTACCCCTAATGGAGTATAGCCCGTCAACCCGCATTCTCTAATCAACTCTGTACTGAGCTTTAATTTCCAGTTCTACCTAAAAGCTATTCATTCTTTTCATGTCTGCTTCTAATTATCGGCATAACGTGTTCTTTGGTATTACTTTATTCCTTTATGATTGAAGACTCCAGGTTAGGATATGTCTCATGATGCAGTCGAGTGATTTCTGCAACGTGAGTCCTTTCCACCGTCAACACATTTTCTAAATTTCTTGCTCAGCTCCAATCTGGTTTGTTATTTCCCACAGCAGGTTGTTGCTAATAGTATCTGGCCAACGGATCCCAAGTATTTTGCGTAAACAACTGTTGATCAACACTTGTATCTTCTGGATGATGGCTTTGGTAGTTTTCCAAGTTTCCGCCCTATTCTGTAGAACTATCTTGTCATTTTTATTGAAAATTCCGACTTTGATGTTTGTTGACTGCTTTTTTTGGGTTCCAGATGTTGTTCATTTGTAGAAATGCAGCCCTTGCTTTGCCGATCCGCGCCTTCACATCTGCATCAGATCCACTATGCTAGTCAATGATGCTGCCAAGATATGTAAAGGTGTTAAGGTCTTCCAAGGCGTGTCCGTCAAGTGTTATATGGTTGGCGCATGTTGTGTTGTATCAGAGAATCTTGCTTTTCCCTTTATGTATGTTGACACCTGTTGCTGCTGTTACACTGGTCGTCTTCTCTTGCACTTGTTGTTGCGTGTGAGATAGAAGAGCTAAGTGAAGAAGACCAAACAACACATTATGCCGCGAATTAGAAGCAGACATGAAAAGAATGAATAGCGTTTGGGTAGAACTAGAAATTAAAGCTCAGGACAGAGTTTATTGGAGAGTGCTGGTCGACGGGCTATGCTCCATTAGGATTAACACGCTAAGTAATTAATTAAATTAAAGCGGATAACCAATTAAAAATAATGAATATTTAGCGACTGGCCCCTAGCACCGCTGTATTACATGTGAAAAGAGTGCTTCCTTAACATTTTCTAAACTAGAAGACTTCAAACCATCTACTATATCACATCTACCCAGTAAATTTGAAATCGTTATCTATACCAAGCTACTCATGCCCGTAAACTGGCAGGAATTCTGTATTTATTATTTTCAGAATATATTATTATTATATCAGGCTAGAATTAATAAATCCTATGGTATCCACTGGTTTCTCATCTGTATTTGATTTGCAATGACTTGGAAAATAGCTTTCGATGTCGCTGTGGCTAAATTTGACGAAACGTTCACGAGGAGTTGGCAAAATCGAATGTGTACAACAGACTACTTATCAAATAATCGATTCAAGTTTGATTGCTGTTTGAAAATGATATATCCTGAAATCTATCCCTCCCCATACTTTTACAAGTTATTGTGACTGCTTGTTTTTTCTCATGCTTATTTTATGTTCAATAAATAGATAATTATGTTTCGCACTTCTTTTCTATGTTTTATTTTGACCTTACTGTTTTCATTGACCTAATTACATAAATTTTATATCGTGAGTGAAATCTATCGATTACATTTTTAATGATACATTTTATGGTAAGCTAATATATGTAAAATGACTATAAGTACGACTGTATAGTTTTTGCAAATGACATTATCTTAGTTGAATTTTTCCAGACAAATATTCTTGATGTTAGCATGTATATGTGTATAATTAATGAACTTCGCCAAATACTTAATCCTTAAACTAATCTACTAGCTTGTTACTTAAGTTAATAATATAAAGTATCACATTATCAAATAGAAATGAACGACATTATATCATAAAAATTGTCACCTTTTTGCAAGCAAAATAAGTAATATGAGTTAAGAATATTTGATTTCCGCGTCAGAAAATGCATACACTTGAAAAGAGATTAACATAGTAAGGAATTTGAGAGAACACAGAGTGGATGCACCTACGACATTGCAAACGATTCTAGGCCATGTCGTTCCAAGTCTCTAATTATTGGTTACTATCGTCTCGCGGACCAAAATCAGGTAGCCTACATCTACCAACATGACTCAGTTCACTTGTCAGTGACTTCATGGATTTCTGCCATGTTAAGGTTAGGCTGCCCTAAATTTCATTCTGACCTCCTGTCACATCGCAAAACATAGCTCGATGAGGCAATCGGTAGTTTGACATTCGTAACACATGTCCCAACCACCTCAACTGATGACGTTTCACTACTTCATCTATTGATTTGCCATCCTTACCTAGAACTCGTTTCCTAACGACAGAATTGCTGATATGGTTGTCCCATGATACAGGAGCAATGCTTTGAGGATATCTATAATCAAATACTAATAACCTACAGATATCCTCGACTCTTACTGTCCATGTTTCAAACCTGTGTTGTAAAATGAAGCGAACAGCTGCGCAGTAGATTCGTTCTTTGGGTGGCAAACAGATATCTCACCTACGCCACAAGTGACGCAAGTTGGCAAAATGCAATCGAGTCTTCTGTATCCGTGCTGAGATTCCAATAGTCACCAGACTACCAGCAGTGATGAGGCTCTCCAGGTAAGTGAAGCGGTTTACACGCTCAACTACTTCACTCCCTATCATTAACTAGTTCAGGTGCCGAGGCAAGCCAATCTTGAGACAATATTTTTCATTTCGAAGGGGAAATCGCATCGAAAACATGGTTGCATTGTTGCTTAGAGTAGTTAGGAGACACTGCATTTGATTAGCGTCTTCATCAAGTGGAACTATGTCATCGACATATTCTAAGTCAACATGCTGTCTCCTGGTAGAATGTCCACTCCTGGATATTCAGACGAAGCCCTGACGGACACTACTTGAAGTAAAGAAATCCAATGACATTTCGCCATAAGCTCTCATTCGACCAGTAGTTTTCAAGTAGCAAATATAGCCTGTCAAATTAGGCTGCTCTTAGGCATAAGTAATACGTACCTCAAGCAATAAAGATTCAAGGCCTTATCAACCGATCAGTGATCTCTCATTGTACTCAGCGTCTAACTGCAACACAACTCGCTAGGTGGTCCCAACAGAAGCGAGCAGCGCTTTGAATACACCAATGATGAGAACCTGATGTTTACACATATCGTCCCACTACAAGAGACCATGATGCACAGCCATAGATTAATGCAGGACGGACCAATGGAAAGTATATTCATAATATGACTGCCAGACAGGCAACTCGTTTGCATTATGTGATGCACAGTGACAGAAGCCGAGTGAGCTTTCTGAATCCATGTCCAGGTTTTATCAAACACTAACCTACTAGGAACTGATGAAACCTAAGAATAGTAAAGTAATCAACGCATTCAACCACTTTATTCAGTTTATACAATGATAACCAGTCCAGATGATGCCAGCTGTAATCATAACTGATTTTCGATCATGTGAAAATACTTTTGTAAAGTTAAATTATTTAAATTATTTAGTGCTTATTATTATACGTTCAATGCATGTGAACGTTACTCCATCGCATTTCAAATTATAAACAAATTAAAATTTTGTTATCAAATAATTTGAAGATTAAATCGATTAGGCTTAAAGTGATAAATAACAATCAAAGCATACGATATATTATTACATTCAGAGTAGTATCTAGTCAGTAATAGGTCTAAGATGAATGAAAAACATAGATTCACCTTAAGAAATTACAGAGATCTAATGTTTTCTAGGTCAATGTTTTAACTGTGGATGCAAAAATTATAAAACCTAAGTGGTTTACAAATCGCAAATAAAATTAATATTTCTAGAATCGAAAATAAAAGCTGCGTTTTGAAAGTTTTGAAAAACTCAGGAGATACAAGTGAAGTATGACAACATGAGACGGTACATTTTTATCACACATTCCATATTGTTTATTATTTCTAACTGACCAATTTTCAATTCTAACAGAAAATGCATATTTACACATATAGGAGAAAATATAATGAAAGTGACTTAATCCTTAAAAGAATAACTAGTATCTTTCTAATAACTTCAATATAAAAAAAGTATTTCACAATTTTGTTTACAAATTTACAAATATTCACTTGATACATTTCTAAGCCTTACCTAAATCAAAAATACATGGTGATGCAGTTGATTTGATTGATAGTTTTTCGTGATAAATTTCTTTATTTTGTTGATTACCAGAAATTGAATTATTGCTAATTAAATCTAAATCAATATCAAACAGAGATATTCCATAGCATGATTTAAACGAATTATTAACAATATCAGATAAGAGTAGAATATATGATTGATGTCTTGAAACACCGTGAATATGAACAGAATTATCCAAATTAACTTGATGTACAATTTCAACATAACGACCTGGCAAGCCAATACGAGAATCAACTGATGATAAACTTTGAAGCGATTGATGAATCAATGAAGAAGTGCTGGAATGTAGTGAACGATCAGAATTACTAGTTCGATCTACAATTTGACAGATACGGATCGATTGTCCTCGACCAATTATAAAACAATTTTCTGTACACCAACAAAGGCTACATACAGTGGGTAAAGTAGGCGTCCTATAAAGAAAAAAATCGATAAGAGGTGCAGCTATAATGTAACCGATCAAGGTCAATATATATTAAATAGATAGATTTCAATGCTTGAAAATTTAAGACAAACGGAAACTGAAGTTAGTAGAAAACTAACAACCAACACAGCAATTTTCTCTAATTTATTCACGACAGATGGATGGAATTCTGTAAATAGATTTTAGCAGTTTAGAGATTTGAAACTGCTAATTGATTACAGGTAGTTGTAAGGTGATTATGAGTCTCGAAAAAAAGACATTATAGGGGTACTAATGATTATACTCATTTCAGTTTTTACGTACAATAGTGTCGGTTATCACGGGACAGTTAGTCAAATAAAATAATAGTAACTGAAGTGATTGAAATGTTACTAAGTTACAAAAACAATGAATGAACCTCCAACTGTATTAGATTTTACAAGACATAGTATCAAAGAAAATCAAAGTAATCATTCGTATACACGATACTTAATTGAAATATTATGAGTTACATAGATATTACATAAGAAACTACCAACTAAGGGTACTAATAAAGATCAGAAAATAAGCAATCACGCTTCAATTCTGCTAATCGTAATAGTGTTGACATGGTGTTGGTTAAAATCCAATCAAATATACTATGGTAGTATCACATTCGATATCATGGAAGTGTTTATTATTTTTAAAATGCTCTATAATCATCATTCAGTTCATTTCAAAGTTTAGCAACCTAGTCCAATTATGAGCATAATCGTCAGTGTAGACAATCATTTCTTAGTTGTTTTTTTTCAAAATATTTAAGAACTTTTACAAATCATATAGTTAGTTTGGATGAAGTCTTAATTTTATGGGTTTTATATCATGATACTCTAAAAACATAACGGAAAAGGAAATAGTATTATTTACTATGAAATGGTGCTGTGATATCTAGAGGGGAATAATCTATTCAACATAAAACTTCTAAATGATTTATCAGGTAAACTAATTGGAATCTTTTGAATACCTTTTTTTAACATGTGGCTTAAGAACGTGTAAATATATTGGGGAAGCATAACAATATATGAATCACTTAAACAGCTGATTGATATCGGATCGATAACTTGTAATGTAAAATGTTTAAAAACAAATGTATAAATTTATGCTCAGTAAATTAAATAAAACATGAATGGCTTTAATTATGAACGTGGCTTTTGTCGTACTATCGATTGATTGAAAACAAAAGGGAACTGAACGTCTCGTTTTTCCAAATTCGGAAATTCTTAAAAGTGCATATCGATAATTACATCAGAAGTCGAATACACGAGCTTTTGGCCTTGCAGTGAGTGTGTTACTTTTAAAACAACAAGTTCGAATCATATTGAAGTAATGAACCGACCTAAGTTAGACAACCATTGTAAATCCGGAAGTATCAAACAGCTGTTTCAGCTGAGTATGAGAATTTTCAATAGTGCACATCCGCGACCACACTACTGAGGTCGAGTCAAAAATGAATTAAAAATCTATAAAATGTGATCTTTGTCGATTATGATCAGAGATAACTTTCTCATTTAGCAGATGGTTGAACCCTAATGGTCAAGACTATTTCTACACTAAACTAGTCCACACAACCTACTCAAATAAGCAATGTTGTTGTTATTACGATAAGTACAATAATTATGATTGTCCATAAATAACTCAAATAAGTATATGTAAATTCTAAAACCATGGAAATATTAGCAGTTAGTCTGTTTTCGTTTGATAAAAGGCGTTAATTAAAGGTATATATATATATACAAGGCAAAATAAAACGCCTACAAATTTTGAATCAATAAATTTGGTCATTCAGTTAAAATCACAAAACAAACAAACATGCTGACTATTCAACTCATAAGGGTTGTTTTTTTGACTTATTATTTTAAACGGAACACGAATTAATACTACTTTGCATAAACATTTATGAATACTTTGATTCCTTTTCAATAAGAACAAACAAATTACAGTATATGAAATGTCTACTTTAAACTCAAAAACCTCTTGCTAAGAGATAATGTACCATCATCAATATAACAATGCATCTCTTACTGATACTGATACTTTACTTCCTTTCAAATAGATAACCGGTAAAAAAAAAATAACGTTTAACAAGATTATTTCGTCCATTTAACAAGTTCACCGAAAAAAAACCCACTTCTAGCTTAATGCGATAAAGCCGATATGTCGTTTACACATAGAAGTAGGTAAGTGATTAGGAAAAAAATACTAAAACTTGTGTGGAAATGCATAATTAAAAATCTACACAACCATTAATCAATTATTTTACAATCAGTTCATCTAGATTCTTAGCAAAATAAGTACAAATGAAAGATTATTGACAATTTCCCTAGGCCATATTGTTAGTTTGAAATCAAGAATCTATATTGTTGATGAATTTTTCGTTTCCAAATGTATTCAAAGAACAATGATGATATGAAAGAATGAAATGCATGTCAATCTTAAATATACGATCAAACATTGAATGTATAAAGAGAAATTGGACTTTTCTTGGCAGAAATTATTTACCTTTATACTTCTCATTGCATCAATATTAACTGATACAAACATTTTGATTAAAATTTGACTTTTGATTTTTTTCTTAGAAAATAGAAATAGATAATAGGCAAGTTATGCTCAATTAAAGTGATTATTTTTATATTATAAAGAAAAACAAAGAGAACTTACTTATTCATAGTATTAGCGAATCGAAGAAATGTAATCGGACGGCGATCACGAATATCGTAAACACATATACACTAGAAGTAATTGAAGAGATCACAATAGCCAAAGATAAAGATAGAAATCTTTTATTTTTTTCAATCATTGAAAGTGAAATGTTCATAATTATTATTAAACAATCTCTTATTAATCATTAATGACAATTAATAGCATTTTATAAAAATGATTCGAATTCAGCAGTATTAAGTTTGTTAGTTTTGTAGAAAAATACTTATTTTAATCTTGCAAGGATAATCTTCATCACGAATCGATTGCTGGAGTTAAATTGAAAAAATAACTGGTTGAATTCAAACTATTTGTATCGTCTTGATTTTGTTTGATCCAAATAGATAAAAAGCACTATATTAATTATGATTGATCAGTTTTGGTTTAGCCTACGATAATCTAGAATGAAGTACGACTGGGAGAATACTTTAATATGAAAATTAGATCTGCATAAACTAAACAGATCAGCAACCAATTCACAATATTTGAACAAAAAGAAGTCGGGAACTAAGGAAAAAGCTTAATATTCAAATAAGTCGAAATTTTAACAGAACAACTCTGTATATATGGCGACAAACATGAAATCGAGACAACGAAAATCAGCAAACTGAAAGACAGAACAACTAATCGGATAACAATAAAACTTTGTGGGGAAATATGAGTTGAGGAAAAGTTACCAAGAATTTTCTTGCACGATAATTTGAGGTCATTCTATCAATAAGATCTGAAAGTCTTCAGCTCAACTCATCTTAAAAATTGGGTGTGGGTGGTAATTAAAAGTTACAAACTAGGTTGTAGAATAATGGTTTACTGATCTTCAGTTGTTTGTGTGGGAACTGGAGGCAGATATCAGAAAAAACTAATAGAAATTGGGAACAAATATAGAGGAGAGCCCGGAATAGATAATATCGGCGGATGATCTATGCTCCAAGAAGGATAACAGGAGTAAAGAAGTCTCAAGCTAACAGAATCAGTTGATGGCCGAAATAGTATAGTCGAAATCATATGCATAGACCGAATTCATCTATCCAACAATCTTACGGCGGTTTGACAGAAATGAATTTTATTCTTTATCTTCAATTAGTATTTCAATCAGTCAGCTAAAGAGTAGAACTTGGTACTTAGGTATATCAGTTCAAGCTGCCATTGCACATTAGCACAGAGACGCGACTGTCTATTGAAATCCCATAGTAGTAGGGGTAGTAAAAGTATCAGCAGTAATCGGAGAGAGTAGGGTTCGAAGATATTATTCAAGAAGTATTCAAGAAATTTAATAACAGAAAGATAAAAGTGACGGGGAAGTGAGATTAACATATGAGAGAACACAAAGAGTGGGTACCTCTACGACATTGCAAACTATTTTGAGCCATGTCGTTCAAGATCCCTAACCATTAATTACTATCATCTCGCGGACCCCAACCAGGTAGTCGACATCTACCAACACAACCCAATCCAGATGTCAGTGACTTCACGGATTTCTGCCATGTTTTGGTTTGGCCACCCCTACGTTTCTTTCAACCTATTCCTATATCACAAAACATAGCTCGACAAGGTAGTCGGTGGTTAGGCATACTTAACACATGTCCCAACCACCTCAACTGATGGAGTCTCACTACTTCATCTATTGATCTGACATCCTTACCTAGTACTCGTATCCTAATGGCAGCATTGCTTACTCAGTTGTCCCGGGATACACGAGCAATGCTTCGAAGACATCGATGATCGAAAACCAGTACCCTAAGAATATCTTAAACTCTTACCAGCCATGATTCACAACCACATAGTATGACGAAGCGAACTGCTGCACAGTACACTCGTCCTTTAGTCAGCAAACGGATATCTTGCCTACGCCATAAATGACGCAGGTTGGCAAAAGCCAATCGAGCCTTCTGTATCCGTGCTGAGATTTCGTCAGTCACCAGGCCATCATCACTGATGAGACTCCCTAGATAAGTGAAGCGGTCAACACGCTTGGTTACTTCACTCCCTGTTACTAGTTCAGGTGCCGACGCAAGCCAATCGTGAAGAAACAGCTTGCATTTAGAGGAGAAAGCCGTATCCCCAACATGCTTGTATTGTTTCTCAGGGCAGAGCTATGTCATCGGCATATTCTAAGTCAACAAGCGAGTCTCCTAGTAGAAGGTCAACTTCTGAAAATTTAGATGGTGAAAGTTTTGTCTCTAAAAACATATCACTGATAAAGTTTAACACGTAAAGAGGAAGTTCGTTTAGTGTTTAACATCGATGATAATAATAATAATAATAATGGTAATCTTTTAAAAGCTTAATTTATATGTTTTAATGCCTTTTCTCTGTAAAAGAATTGCGCAACTTGTTAAGGGTAAGATTTCCCTTTTAGATTTATACTAAAGAGCAAGTTCAAACTATCGAAATATTGGAACTAATCATATACATCTTCTAACACTGAACGTTAAGAAAATGACAATTAAACAGAAACAAGCGAATAATACAGGAAATTTTACAGAAATGAAAATAAAGAGAGAATATAATGTCCAAACCCAACATCACATTTATAGAGTTTGTTTCAGTAAAAGAGCTATTTATTTAAATAAGAACGATATAACACACAAGTATTTACTTTATCATCAGCCCATAAAATAATTTCTGAATGCCATTTGATTGTTCTAACCAAGCCATTCACTTTAGCAAGTTCATCATATTTTGCTTTGGTAAACACACCTTTTGACATTAGATATATCTATGAAATAATATAATACAATATAAAAAAATGAATTTACAATACTCATGATACATACAAATAATGGTGAAATGTAAGAAATTTTTTAACACCATCTCATCTATTTTTCATTCGGAATCGTTTTATGGTTATAAACAACTTCACAGAAAATTCTTTTTTGCGAAAAATATTTTCTAAACAAAATTGTCAAAGACAAGGAAAAACGGAGTTATCAGACAGCGATACGAAAGAGTGACGTATGCAAAACATGATTAATTTTAGCATACCTATGCTATCAGTAAACCTTTCATTCGGTGAATTCACTAGTAAACTGGTTGACTTGAGACTTAACAGTGCACAAAAGATATTGGAACAAAAGTTCTTTGGTTTATGTGTTCGATTAAATGTTCATCACGAAGAGTAGGTAACTTGCTATAACTTAGCCATCATAACGTTATTTCATGTCTATGGTAGCAAACAGGGAACGTTCTGAACAGTATCTGAATGAAATTCTTACAAGACATTCTACATATAGAATACAACTTTCGTTTACCGATTATTTTTAATCATACTAACTTTGATTTTCTATTTCTTTACAACCTAACTTTCTTGCAGTGTGACACCTTTCTGTTTCGGTGCTCATTTGTACCAATATTGATGTGTTTAAAGAAGTAAATATGTTAATATAATACAAGATAAAATTCACCCATTTTTCGATTTCAGGAAAATATTGGAAATTCGATTTCCAGGTTTTGACTGCATCGAGCTGAACATAATGTCTTCAGATTTTGTTGTAAGAATACTGCCACTCAGTCATAGAAAAAAGTTACCGGAGGCCTGTTTGAATATCTGAGCTGTCTGTTCCTCCTACCACCTAGATATTTCAACAACTCACCATTTTCGTTTTAACGCATCAATCATGTCCACCAACCACCTAACCTACTTAGACGCGTGTATAAAAATCTTATGGCCCATCTCTTTACAAGGTATAAAAAAGCGGTGGCTGGCAATACGTATTGAAGAAAATGAACGTTAATCAAATGTCGATTCTGAAACTGTTAACTTCCAAATGCCGGGCCACTAATTGACCGAGTGGACTATTTCCGATTTCCACTAAGTCTAAACATGTATCGCAATAGTGGTCTAATCACAATTGAAGAATCCTTGTTCAATGATTTACACGACGATTGTTTAGTATCAATACGCGGTCTCAATATTGAATGTCAGAATCGACCAAGCAATAGGAAAAATTGTAGAGGCGATGTTGCTAAATTTTAAATATAAACTGGTGTCGAACAATTTTGCATGTTTCAAGTTTTCAGAAGATTTTACCGACCGTTCAACCTAAAGATGTCATCCGAAGTACTTAAACAAGTACAATTATGTTTATTTCACCAACATCTATGTGACTTTGGACTGCACCTCATTCGCACCATCTATTTTCGTTTATGTAGTTATTTTGATTCATATGATTATAACTGATGAATATGGTTGTGTGTAGACATTTGAAACGATGAAAATTCTTCGCTTTTTGTCTAATCAAATATTAACCATTCAGTTTATTCACATCTCCCTTTTTGTATATCTTCTGGTAGAACAAGATACTGATACACTAGAATCCATGCACGCGCACAAAAGTATAAAAACTCTACAGTACCTTTTCTAGAAAATATACTGTGCGACGAACAGGTTATAGGAAATGACCTGGTCAAAAACTTGTATACCTAAACATATCGCTAACTGACAGGTGCGTAGACTCTTTTCGTATGGAGTAAACATTTTATTCAATTATTATGCTGTAAATTCTATATTGCATTAAACAAATAATCTTGAATGAAGCCGCTAATAATATAATAATAATGGTAATAATAATAATAATAATTCAATATTGAATGTTCAACAGGTTTAACCTCTAATCAAGTTGCATCAGAGTGAGCCAGGTCTGCTGTATGGCATCATGAATATATGCAAATGGAGGGTCCCAAGTTAAAAATATGCAGGGAGTCAGTTCTCTCTGATTTCTAAAGACTCGCTGGCTGTTGATAATTTGTCATGAAAATTATGTTCAGCTTATTTAACTTGTTTAAAATAACCTATGAAAATTATATATATATATATATATATATATATATATATATATATATATAAGTACATAATACAAATATCACTTGTTATAAACCTTACCTTGTTAAAACCAACAACTACATTATTAGATTTTTCAAAATCTGGAGCAATAGCAACCGCTTTAATAGGATACTGAAAATTATGAATTTGACTGGGTAATATTGAGGATAAATTATATATCACTAACTAGAAAAACAATTCAATTTAAAAAATAAAAAGGAATTAGGTAATCATCACAGACACATAATAACTGAATTACAAATATAAATAAATTTAACAAGTTATCGGGAGTAAACATTAGACATGATTATTTAAGAGACAACTGTAATCATGAATACTTTTAAGAGTTAAATGCAATAAATCATCATGATGTTTTAACGAAATAAAATTGGGTCAAATTACTTATTTGACAAGTGTAAAAACCAAAAACATCGATTGTTAGATTAGTTTTTAAACAAAAGTTAAAAACATTCAATGAAATCACATGTGATGCCAAAGTGGAACAAACTTTAGCAAAGAAAGTAATCAAATTTTAACAATTGCATTGTAATTCAAAAAGAAGAACCAACGCGATTTTACTTTAGTTTGAATTGCACTTCCACTAAGAAATAGCAACTTGAAGTTAATAACAAGAATTTAAGTTTCATACATAAATTACATTAGACTAGTGAAAACCTGGTGAAAAGTTTTTTAAAGAATGATAAATGATCATTTTTGTACTGTTAACAAAACTACTAGTTTTACACTGTGATAGATAGAATTGAGAATACAAAGATAGTTAAACCTTTATTATTTGTGCATTTTTATTTGATTTTTACATTACTACTTTATAAAATATTAGTTATTGCATAAATTTAATTGTATACTCATTTTATGTTAAGTTGAGGATCAATCAAATGGAAAAAGATGATGATGTTTTTAATGTATATATGATAGATAGAACTTTGATAACAAATATGTTGAAGCCATGTTTATTATAGGTATGATGAAATGTGTCGAATTAGAACTGTCTACATTCTATATAATTAATAAAATTTTAAGGACATATTAATCATTAATCAGAAAACTGAAATAAAAGAAAATACATCAAAACTATATTGGTGTTATATATTTTAATGAATGAGTAATTTATATCATATATGATATTTTACTTACAAGTCCATCTTCTCCACAACTAGCAATAAAATAACCTTGTTCCGATATACTGATTGCATTAACAGATGCACTATGCTGAAAGTAAAGGAACCCATGATATGGATTAATGTATTTACAAGAGAATAATTGTATACTTTCAGAAAAAGAAACCACTAAAAAATACAGAAAGTTTTATTTGATAGTTTTCTACTCCGTTTCAATGTCAACATCACAAATATATAAATATATATATATATATATATATATATATTTGTTTTAAGTTAAAAAAACAAATAAACGATTAGTGTAAATGAAGAATGCCTAACTTGTATATTGTATATAATAATAATAATAATAATAACAATAACAATAATAAGAATAAGAATAATAAATAATAATAATAAATTTGATGAGAATCAGTTGAAGTACAACTATCCAACCTATATCTAAATACAATGTGACAAAACAAATAGACATGATGATAATAATAATAATCATAAATGATTCAATGAATTTATGAATTACTGTCTGACTGATAACAACATTTTGCATTATCATAATTTTTCTTTAAATCTATTTTCAATAGTTAAAATAAGGATGTTATGGGCTACTAGGATACTTGCTCACTTACTTTAATGATATGAATAAAGTGAAAAATAGCAAACGTTCAGGACTCTAGTAATTAGTAATAACTACTTTCGAAAATAATTTATTCTTAGTCAGTGATAATATGAATACCAAAGTCTAATTGGAACTTGAAATGATCTGATAAACAGTTATATTTCCATAGTAATTTAATAACCGTTGTTACGAAATAATAACCTAATCATTGAAATCTCAGTTGTGAAAAGTGAATTTTACAATTTCGTAAAAATCTTCTGTGAATAGTAATAAAATTATTATTAAATTTGTATCTTTCTGAATTTCGGACAGAATGAAGAACTTTAACATCAATGACTGAATAATACAATTACTAAAATTAAACCAAGAAGATAATTCTTAACTCGTTTCCGGATCCCTTTTTACCACACAATCACGTTCTCAATGGAAAATTAGATAGGCGAGATGCTGGACTACAGTTATGTAACCGTTTGAATTTTGTAAACCAGCAATATTAATTTGTTGCCACGATCTTCCGCATAATAATAGTAAAAGTGAAACGTATAATGAACTTGGAGATGGGCATAATATTGGCATGAAGTGCAGAAATGAAGTCTGAAAGCCGGGTCGTAATTTCATTAGCGCATGAGTGACCCACTAAATGTGTACCTTTAATCGTTTATGATTAGGAAAACTTCCAACGATGTTTATTTTTGTATGCATTATTCAGTAGTTAAAACTGTGGTTTTATTAGGGAAAATCTATTCTCATTAACACTCTCTCAGAGGACTGACGTCAACACTATAGTGTTGTGAACAATTGGATCAAATAGATTTCATCATTATTATTGATCATTGTTTAATTCATTATTCTGATAACCTAAACTTGCTCATCACTGCATTACAACACAACCTCTCACTACAAATAAAGTCTGTAGTTATGCTAGAAACAGTCCACTGAGAACTTTTAATTACTGCGTACTATGGCTAGTAATATTAATCAAAAAGACTTTCACAACTCTGAAAACAGAACCGTTTGTAACCCGTTTATCAAGTAAATATTTATGTACTCGGCTTTAAGACCGACTAACCCTAACACAGCAGATGAGGCTGGGTTTGAACCTGGTTTGAAACCCAGTGCCTTAACTACTAGCCCAGTAATCTGTAATAATCAGCTAAATGAAGAGTTTTTGAGATGGTGGAGAAAACTTGTAGCTCAGGTGGATGATTGTGGTGGTGTTTCGTTCTCTGAGCTCAGAGAACGAAACACCACCACAATAAATGAAGAGTACTCATTTCGTTAAGAATCATCTACTTGGAAGATAACATACTACAGTTGTAGACAGAGAATATTGACTTCAGGGTCGAGTAGTATATAGATGACATATGTAAGCAGTAAAACTCATGTTTATGGAATGTTGCTACCGGTATTAATTCGAACTATGATAGCTTACCACGCCATAGATTCCATTTTCAACAGGAAACCCACCGTGGTCCAGTAAATGCACGCGTCCCAATTGTGTTCCAACTGCAATAAACTTTAAAGTATAGTGCAAAGATTTTAAAATGGTCACACATTTATACCCAAAATATAAGAACAATAGTCGTATATTAGTTTGACCCGAAAATACATTCACAGAATGATTTTAAAAAAACACGGGAGAAGTTTGATTTCGACATATAATTTGGGCTATTAATTTGGTATTGTTAAACTTCCAGCGGTGTAAACTGGTACAATATGTATGCAAGTAGACAGTACTAACAGTTCGTCCTTTTCATATGTACTGAACCAATAATACAGATGTATTTTGCAATTTTTGTACACAATTTTCTGCTGAGAGTCTATTTAAATCAACAACTAATGAGCTCATCTGAAACATCTGCAGCCAAAAGATAAAAATGCAACGAATGAAACAAACCAGTGACCTATAGTACAGCCAAATGAAAGCATGTGACGGATAAATTTCAACATTGGAAGTATACGATATAAACACCACGTTGACTGGATGGTTTGGAAATAACATAGTTCGGTAATGCTATGTTATCACAGAAACAATAATTTCACTGGTGAGGCTTATCAACACAGTTTTGCTAAATGACAGTGATAAAACTGTTTGAGTTCAGTTTGGTTGAAAATCCATTTGGAACGAGATCTAATTTAGAGGCTACTAGTATAGTCTTTACCTGCTCCCTAATACCCTGAACACTTCTCAACTGACCTCGTAACCAAAGCATGACTTGGAAGGAAACGTAAATACATTTCAAAGTAACGTTAATCAGCCACACATTGACAAATCGCAGTGTATTGATCGATACAACGAAGAGACACTGAAAATAAAATAAAGGACTACATGCTGAATAAAATGTAACGAGCAGGGTTCTCTTTACATCCATTTAGGAATTCAAAAATTGACTTGTTTTAAAATATATATTTAGTCTTTGGGAGTTTCGTAAACACAACAGTTACATATAATAGAAGACAAATACTCACCTACAGATGTTATTATTTGCCGACCTACTAAGATGTCAAGACTTCTTTCTTGCAAGAAATTTGTAGTATTCACGAATTTCCTCTTAAATGTCAAACAAAAGTGCCACAAAATATTTGCTATTATAGCTAGTAAGCAACAATTAGTTGTTACTGTCTTTGCAAAACATCTTGAACATTATTCTCTTCATCTTATCTACACCTGAAAACTGCAGAGTACTGATGGAATAACGTTTAACTATACAGTCCTGTTACGCTTGAAATTTAACTATTTCATAATACCGTATATTCAAGCTCTGCCACCAGAAAACAAGGGAGCTTATTTACCAAGAAAATTATAAGGGAAACTTATGTCCAGCGTCAACTCTAAATTATCATATGTTCAACATAGCAAGGGGGATTAGAAAACATTGATGGCATGCCAAAGGTGTATTTTAAGTAAATTAGGCTTCAAAATTCATCACTTCCGACAGGAAAAAAAGCAAATATGTATTCTTTCAAACAGTAAACGGAATCACTTTGAGATATCATCAAGAAGTCAACACCAAAAGGTGTAGAAATATTGACTCAGAAATCTTACTGAGGTTCAGAAACCAAAAACGATTGAACAAATTTTACCTCAGATATGGAGATTTTGAGCCATCATGAACAATTTGTCGGTTTACAATGCTTTCAGCTGATGTTTCTCAAATACTGATGCAAATGTAAAAAATACCTTTTCTGAACGTACAGTGGGAGTTTGCCTAGACTAAAACAAGACATGAAGACAGACATCAATATTTTTAATTCAGCTGACTACTAAGTACAGATTTGTTTACCCGGCTTTAAGCTACACGTTTAATGAGAGGTAGTGATACCAATAGCTAGAGGGAAGTTAGTTTAAACTTGCTACACAAACGTTGGAAGTTAAGTGCTTCAACTGATTAGCTAACAACAACCATCAAAACTCCCCCTGGGTTATCTTTACCCAGGTTTCATGGATTCAATTAACGTAAACTATTTTTACGGGTAAATGTCTAGCAAAACATGCTTACTTTCCCATGTGCTGCTACACAAGTGATGGAATCCATAGAAGTTATATCACACAAGCCATGTCCTATGGATGTGAACTTTAAGTGTGGCTCAATCGCCTCTGAACTTTTATCTCCATCCAAGTCTTCAGCTAATTCAGCAACTTCAAATGATTTGGACATCTATAAATAAGTAAAATATGAAGTGACAACTTAAGTAGCCAAATTTTAAAAATGTTTACATGAAATACGATAAGAAAAGGTTGTTATAAACGTAAAGCAATGTCCCCGATGTGTTCATTGTGAATTTGGTATGACCACTGTTTATTCAGTAGCCTTAACAGAAAGCAACTTCATAAGAAATGTCACTTTATTTAAATCATACATATTAGATATTTTTATGCAGAACGATAGAGAGAAAACTAACATGGACCGTGAGCAAAGATGACACGAAAAATCGTGAAGCGTTCCAAATACTTAACTCCACCTGGAGTCCTTCTGGCGTAACTGCCGATCCCGAGCCCATATGGAGGGTTGGGCATGGGGTTAGTGACCAAATCCCGTAGAAAACCAACTTGCCGAAAGAACGCTAACTATAAAATGCTGGTTGGCCGCCAATGCTTCACGAATAGTAACAGGAGTAAGATACAAAACGTACGAGGAGCAGATTTGGGGGCTTGGGCAGTTTTCCACAGGCTACAAGATGAAGATAGATAATCGCTTCACAATTAGTCCAGAGCACCCAAACAAGTCGATGACGCCAGATGATCAACATTGCGACCTACTTAAAAACAGTGGCAATCGGCATTGCTCATGTACAATTACGGCAAGATGACTACGGAAATCTCACAAGAAGGAACAGCTGGTACGAGACCCCTACCCAACATCGGAAACCTAGCGAACAGAAAACTCCGCACTGTAGTTAATGTGCGACAAATATACCGACAGATACCAAAACCAACTCGTTTTCAATTGCAATTAATAGAATGTCAACCACTATTCTTACTAATTATCAGATATCAGCACAGTATATGATTTGAAAATTATTCAGCACAAAATTAAATGACGGACATCGAAATAAAGTAGCATACCATTAGCGAGATACGCTTATAAATGCAGAAATATATGAGTAACTATCTATATTTCTACCTTTTGGTTAACCAAAAGACACTCATGGAATAGGGACACATATCTTATCATTGATAAAACACCAAGGCCTATTTTCTAATTAAACAGAAATGAGGAAAATTTGTAGCCTTATTTACTAACAGTATTCTAACTCATTGTTCGGATTTTCAGACTGATGCTTTAAGATAACCTTGGCCAATATCCAATATCTTCTTGTCGAGCCATTATTACCCAATTGTTTCTTTGAGCTCGGTTCTTGTTCTTTTGGTACGGTTTTAGGTATTCGTTAGATTTCGATGGATGGTAATCTAGCGATTGGACGTCAGTGATTCTAGTCAGTCGGCAACTGTTGGTGAGTTTTTATGTCACGTGATTTGAATGAGTACATTTGGTTCAGTAAAGTAGGGTTTCTAGATAATAAGCTAGATAGATTAGATTAGTGATCTGAGGAAATGGCAATAATATCTACTAGCAAGTATCGAGACATGCATCAGGTACAGCCGGTCCACGAAAGAGACGATAATCCATACGTGAGTGTGTATTTATCAAGTTTGTTCTGAAAAACTTATCCACTGAGTGGGCTGTGGTTAACTCAGCTCGGAGAGCGTTCCAAGTAGCAAAATCTTTCGATGAGAAAATGTGTATACATACCTGGATTTTCGCTCTTCTTTAAAAGGAATTTCGAGGATTACCCCTTAAGATGTGGAGATGGTGCTTTGGTAAGACGTTGATGTCGGGATGACTCAGCATGCCTAATATGCTGTAAGCCATTATCAGATCGCCTCTGATTCTCCTGCAACTCATAGGGAATAATACCAGACGCTTGGATCTATTTTCATAAGGATTATAACTCAACTCTATTACCCATTGGGTTGCTCGTCTCTACACCCGACCCAAGAGATTTATATCTCTTTTAAGGTGAGGGAGTGCAACAACGTTGTAAAATTCAAGGTGTGAGCGTGAATTTGCTTTGAACAATATCTAGGGTTATTCTGGGGTGATAGCATAAATTCATTAGTTGCTTTATTCTTGGCTGCATCCCCTATATAGTTTGAACTGGTGTCAATGTTTGCTGTAGTTGTTAGATCGAGATCGCTCTCTGGGGAAATTTTCGGACTCCCATTGAGGGTGTAAATAGTTTGTGTCACGTTGTACACAACGTGAGAGTTCGACTGTTCTAGTTTTAAACCGTCTTTCACTGCTTATTCCTCAACTGATATTCGGTCCTTTTGAAGCTCAGTCGGATCCTTTTCGCTTCTAATGAACCTCAGTATCTTTGCGTTGTCTGCGAATATCAGTGCCGCTGAGCAAACATTGTCTAGCAGATCGACAATGAACATCAAGAACAGTAGTGAGCTAAAGATAGTCCCCCGAGAAACTTCCGATGTTGAAGCCCGTCAGCTCGCGTGCACTCTAATTATCTTGGAGCGAAACTTTCTATTCTAAAGGTAGTTTCTGAGCCAAGATAGGAGTGGGTCAGTGAGACCCACTTCCGCAACCTTCATAGTTAGGAGTGCGTGGAGAATTGTGTCAAAGGCTTTTGAAAAGTCAAGAAATAATATATGCATCAGCATTTTTCTTAACCTGGCAGAGTGTTCAACCTTACTGTGCTATGAGAAGATTGGATGAGCATGACCTTCCTTTCGGAAACTCTGTTGAGCTTCATGGAGTATTTTGTTCCTATCCACGTACTTCCTTCTTTGTTCGTTCACCAGCTCTTCCATTACCTTAGATAGTATTCGCAGTAATGCAATTCATCTTTAACAGGCTGGGTCCTTCCTATATCCTCGATTGAAGACTGAAGAGAGAGTTGCTTGTTTCCACTCAATTAGGAGTTGGTGTAACTCCAGAGAGTGCCTGAACAGGTCACATATTAGTGAACTGAGGTCTTCTGCACACTGATTTTAGATCATGGGTCGAATATTTTCACATGATGATGACTTTACTGGTAGTAAGGACTTTAGTCTTCTTAGTACTAAGTGAGGAGTGAATCGGATATTCATTTAGATGTTAGCTGGCAACAGGAAAGAGTAATGCTTTGAACGTGTGGTTAACTGATTTGGCTGATCAGTAAGGTTGGTCTTGAAAATCTCAGCCATCTCTAGGCTAGTAAGTTCTTCGCCATTCGGACCTTTGAGGGAATACATACCCTGATTCGTAGGTCTTCCTTTTGTTGAGGAATTTAAGAGGTGCTTTGGGTTTGTCTGCGTTTTTACGGCTAGCTTCATCTGAAAGCGTTTCCCATCACTTCGAAATGTGGCGCTGTGTTTGTTTCTCAATGCTAAATAAGAACTACTATCCGAATCCTACAGAGCGACCTTCCACTTGTGCCATGCTCTTCTTTTCGTCGGCAGCAAGCATTCAGTGACTCGCTAAAGGCAAGTTCTTCTCTTTCGAGGTGTGTGATGTACCTTAGGTACATTGTTTAGGACAGCATCCTGGCTGATATCTCTCACTGTTTGCTAGAGACAATTTAACATTTGCCCTCGCCATTTCGTGGCCATGGGGCATGTAGATGATGCTTTGTCATGCATGTGTAATTTTCGCTAATGCAGCAAAGGAAGTGTTCATTTTCGTCCTGCCTGAGTGTTTATTTTATGACCATGTTAAAAAAGACTGTGTCATGATCACAAATTCCTATTATTGTATGGTCGTGAACATCTTCGATCATGAGCAGATCACTTATTAACAAATAATCCAAGTTTGAGGATTTTCTATCCTTATTACTTTTAGTGGCGCTGCATATATAAGATCAATCATCTCAGAACTTCTAATGGTTGCGCCCAGCCTTCTTTGGAACCAACTAGTGGAAGTTATACCCTCTTTGCTGAGATTAAGAGATAGAGTTTTGAAATCTTCACTTAAGAGTTCTTGATTGAACCCAAGGGGTGGCTGTTTCAGACCTGAAGTGCATCAGTTAGGCCATCCAGACTTCTGAAGTACACAGACAGCAGATATGGTGCTCCATGTTCGCGAGGTGAGACGAATGAGGCGGCCAGGAAATGCCAGTTGCCGTGGTGGCGTGAAGGCCCAAGATTCGTGACAGTCATTACCACTGTATAATTATGTATAATTATTATACTGTCTAATGCCTCTAATTTATATTCATATCAAGGTCCGAGTAAAGACCGCATAAAACAAGTCTTCTAGAAGGTCTCTTTAGTTATTGAGAATGGCTCGCCGACTGCTGATAGCCAGATCTCCAAAGTTATACCTAAAGAACCGAAAAAAACAGTCACTATTCTGGATTGTCCCTATATGACTGTCCCGAGTGATGAAAAAGTTTTAGTACTGTGGAAACAAAGCAAAGGACAAAATCCACCCACGTTTGATGAACTGGCCCTCTGCTGGTATTTATTTAGTGCGGCAGAATACTCCACAAAACTTCTAAATTACGATAAGACTTGACCTCAGTAAAATAGGAAAAAGCCTGGTTTCAGTGAATATTGTTTTGAGTACTTTGATGAAATAAAATGAGTAGGATTCAATAAGTAGACACTTGAACACTTGGATAAGTCCCACATTTATTCTCAACATATTATCAGAAAACTTTGCAGGAGTTCAGAAACAAATGTTCGCAGTCTATGAATAAACTTCTGGTGGTGAAGTCACTCATAACACCAGTGACCGAAAATTGATAAGTTCATCAGTCCGACGACACCCAAGCGACATCAGTTTACACCTATCTACGAAGCGTCAGGAACTAATGTACACATAACTAATAAAATAAACATCCTTCCCTCAGTCCTTCAGTCATATATTAGTTGGATTTCAAAAGTTATTGGCTGTGAACTCACTTTCGAAAGTTTTGCATCTATAATCGGAGTCTTATTTTATAGCTCTAGCTGCCTACCGAACTATCTAATATTAGAGCACATTCACCTATGACCAAACAATAACAGTAGCCTTGTATGATGAGATTTTGTCGCATCTGAAACTAATTGGGCAGAGATGTTCGGTTTAGGATCTGAAAATCCCTTTTATGGTATGCTGATAAAGACTCTGATGATGCATGGTTTAGTAAAAACATGCCTCTGTCCAATAAGCCTTGATTCGAACCAGGAGTGCTCTTTTTTTAGACTTTGTGATCGTTCATAAGATCTTGGATATTTCCTGTCTAAATATTCTTTCGACATCCACTAAACACGTCAACTACTTGTGATGTAGTATGTCATCAGATTTCATCTCGTTCAATTCGTAGGTCATTTCTGAACTTGGATGAAGAAGTGTTTAGGTTTTTATGCCTGAAGTTCGTGGTAGGACGTTTGTAATATGGGATTAAGTCTGTCATCCCCTGTTTTGTGTATGAGGCGTATAGGCTAGATCAAAATGCTGAAAGGTCTTATTCACTTATTTGATGAGGATTTGTCTAATTCGTCATATCTCTTCCGTATGTCTACGATCAGTCATCTGAGTGGACTTTCTGAGAACCTGTAGAAAATCTTTTACATCTGAAGTTCGGTTTACCTTATTTAGTGGTGAAATGCAATTCTCAATTGGAACTAGTAATTTCAGGACCTTCTGTTGATACATTCAAAGAGGTTTTTGATCTTGAAAGTAATTTAAACTGCAATCAATAATATAGGTCGATTAAAATTCTGTATTTCCTAATGTAGAACGAGGATTATAATGTCACTAATGATAACTGGTATCAATTGAACTCTAAATTGTTGAATCATTTCTCCGATGGACGTTATTAAATCATTACATGTTGTTTAAGATGATGCAGAATGAGTTTCTGTCAGATATATTTAAGGACTGAAACTTCAGGATAGGTGATTAAGGTGATAAAAGATTTTATCTTGGTTCACTTGATTGCCTCTAGTCTTCGGCAATGTACAGTGACCTAAGGCGCTCAGTTTGTAAGTCAACACATGACTACACTTGAAAATAAAGTGGGCGAAATTAGGACTTTGATTGTCCCTAAAAATCGCAGAACGCCAGTTCGCAACTCATGGCCTTCAATTGTTGAGGTAAAAGTCAGTAAGTTTTGGTCATTTCTTAGTAGGTGTTAACGAAGCAGCTCAAACTGATGGTATGTATGAAGACAGATAAAAAGTCATGGAAAATATTTATCAAATCATCTTCGGAAACAAGAGATGCCCAGCACATACAGAAGGGTTGTGATTTTGTAAACGCTTTTCTGAAAGGCTTCAAGTATGAGGATGCGTTAGCTGTGGTTAGGATTGATGGTATATACGTCAATTCATTCCACATAATGGATGTTAAACAAACATTAAAAGTAAGTTAATACTTCGCATTCACCAAACAACAATGAACAACCATGTCTAACCTGTGTAAAAATTTTTGGTCTTACCAAGGATGAATAGTACGAGTTCCAGTCATGATTATTAGTTTGAACATCGGCTTCAACCTCAGCGGCGGATTTTAGGGTTCGTCAAAGCATTTCTTTCAAACATTCTAAATAGGTCTACCAGATCGAAGACGTCTATGGGTATGTTTGACTCTGTCGTCATACAGTGACATCTTGCCCTACTGACCTCAACTGTTAGACGCCAATAGTCACATTAGTTTAGACGGTGGAAATGAAGAACCCGTCTAGGGGAGTTAGAAAACCCTGATCCATAACTAATGGTGCCAATGAGCTACAGGACCCTGATGGAATAAATGGCGTATGAGCCTTTTGTCGGTCATCGTCTACCTTGGGTCCGTATCGCTTTATGTTGCTCCACCACCTTGTGGATTAGGCCTCTTTGTCAAAGACTTGCGGAGTGGTTCCCTAACAAAGCACATGTTTTAATCTGGGCACCCGAACAGTAACTTGATCCCCTCACAAATTCACTAATTTACGTGGCGAATGAACATTTAAGCGTCCCTATGTACCACTGTTTTTGTATTTAATTAAGTAAATAAGCACTTCGCAGCTACAGTTGACGAAGATTCACTACCACATTACTTGTTTTTCATAATTACACAATGCTCTTACCCCCACACTAATTTCTTCGCAACTTAAAGGATAACTGCTTGAGGCTGGTAGTACAGCATTTTAATGGCAAGTTTTTGATGTTAGCTCCCTGCTTCAAGTAGCCGTATCACCAGAGGCGAAAATCTGTGAGGTAAGGTAAGGCGTAATATTTTCAAGATGAACCTTTTCTAACTCCACTGTGTGTAAAGGTCGTATTGCTTTTGATGCATGTTTTAATGAAGGAAACATCGTACTTCTATCAAACCCACGTACGGTCAGCCTTACGACTTCGCTTTTAAACCTTAAGTTACTGTTTTTAGTCTTATCGATCACCAACCGACCTGATTTACATATTATGACCTAAAAGAATTCATGCTCCAACCAATTTAGCTGAACTAAGTTATCACCATAAGCAAGTTCGATCGTTACTTGCAGCAGCTGCTTACATGCTTCAGCATGCAATAATTACGTTAACAAAGTTAGTTACTCAAAAAACTCAGCAGCTCTATAAAAAGATGCCTTGACTTTTGTCAAAGTCTCAAACGTCTGTCACAGTTTTCGTTATGGTACCATTGCTACTGCAGTCCACGCATATTATAGTTTTGTTCTATCGTAATTTATTTACTGAATCAGGGGTCGCTGTCAGTCAGTGTTCTTCATGCTTTAAATACGGTCTTACCATTTAATCTTAGTTTTGATTAAGGTCTTCCGCTTGGTGCTTAACATCATACATAGAATTTTCAAACGCACCTATGGTTGATTGTTCATTTGGAACCATTGTGTTAATACATAGTAATCCTTACGCTTGAATATTGCCTTAAGTTGAAACTTGTTGAATAAACGTGATGAATGTTTGTTGCATTTTGTTAGTTCAATCCATTTGTGTTGATTTGGTCTACCAACCTGAGCTGGCAATCCAAGTTTCTATGTTCATTGCAACTGTGTCGTGGATAAGAACATGGCGAATATCGGTTTAGTATCCCAACTGAAATCTCACCAGCTACTTTACTATGACTGAAAATCATGTAGAATTTTTCGAGCTACATTAGTTTGTTCTCTCTCTTACCCAAATCAAAGTGAACGCCCTTGTTTTTATAATGCATATCGCTTGAGTGAAATTCACTAGTAATTAATCAATCTTCACACAGAAAAGTAGTCTTAACCTTTTGAGGCTGAAAGTTGTATAGTTTATGCACACTGACAAGTTCGAATGTAAATTGAATTCTTTAAAATGGTAAATACTATGTAGTCGTCTATGATTTCACTGTTTAATAAAATAAATCCAAGAATCTACTGTACTCAGTTTATATTTCTTTTCATAGTCTAACCATTCCACTTGGAAAGCTTAACTGGGTTTTCTTCATTGTCAGTGTTTGAGTTCTCAATTCTGGAAAAATACAAATGTACGGAAACTGTTAGTTCACAATTTGTCTAACTTTAAGGTTAATGATTTCAAATGAAAGTTTCATTAGATAATAAGTAGTCTCAGTAGTTCTGAACCAGTCACAAGTGTACTTACTGCAAGCAACTTATTGTTGAGACATTCTAAATAGGCTGATTCGGTTTGGAACGTCCAGTTACTCTGTTGTGAAAACACAATCTAGATTGGAAACTCCGTTTCATCATTTATAAACTGCAATGGCTACAGACTTAAATCAGATTGAAAGTTATTGGGATGTAAATCAACTAAGCTTTTCAGTCGTAAAATAACTAAATCAACTGATAAATCAGCAAAAAATATTTATTGTATCAATGCTAATACTTCACTCATAAATAATAGTTTGCAATGGGGTCAAAGACGTCCAAGTTTAGCTTTAATTTTTATCATTTGTTGTTTGTGGATTCAATTCACTATGCTTGGTTTTGAGCTATATTTCCATGCAGCATATAGTGACAATCCTTGGCCACCCAAATTAAAGTAAGCATGAAAACTATATACAAGTCTGAGCAACGAGCAACAAATCCCATTTACTAAGTTATAACATCTGGTTGTGTAAATGTCGATAGTTAAGTTATAGTTCGAACTCACTTCATGATAAATTCTCTGAAGCACCGAACCAAAACTCTATTTTCATACGGCAGACGTGCAGCACAATGATGTTAAGATTGATTGGTATCATTTCTGAAAAAAGTTTTGATATTTGTTTTTCAGGGTGACCATATGGCTCGAGCAGTGGGACGTATTTGTGGCGCTAAAGGCCGTATTCGGATGTGCATTGAAAACGCTACACGTACTCGCATAGTTGTTGCTGATGAAACTATCCATATTCTGGGCAGCAATGACCGTATAGCAGTGGCTCGACGTGCAATCTGTGATCTGATATTGGGTGCTCCACCAAACAAAATTTTCGGAAAAATTCGAACCCATGCTGCCAGACTAGATTCTTCTTTGTAACTTCTTTAAACTTCACGTTTACGCATAAAAATTGTATTTATTCATTTTTAGTTATCTTGCTAATATGATGGGTTTTATACTACAAGTAATATTTCCATTAAACGTAAATTATTTAGAACTACTAATTGTTAATCATTTTCTCCAAACTAAAGTATACTTCATTTGGTTCAAAAATAAGTCGTACAGTAAACATTCGTGCACATGAAAGCTACACTTCAAAGTAGATCAGTCAGACTAGCCGCTAATCTTACTAAGAGTAAGTACACTTTTCTGTTAAAAAAATCTAATTAACTAGATCTTATCTGCAGTACAATACGTATAGTCTGCAGTCTAGATCATTCACTAAAATATTTATAATTTCATAAGCTTTATTTATTTATTTTTCATATGTAAGTCTGTTCTCAGTAGTAGTAAGATGTTTTAATATTGAACTGACACTTATTTTTCACGGTACTAAAATGTTGTTAGAAAACTTGATCAAGTGAACTCACAAAGCACTTGACTCGTTACGATGACCTTTGATTGTGATCTAGTTTAATTGAGTTTCTGAGTACTTTCTAATATGGGTGTAATACTTTCTATCAACATTTCACTGACAATATCGATAAATGAAATTTTGTGACAGATAATCTACGTATTTAACTAACTAATAACATCATTGGTTTTGCATTCTTCCAAATAAAGTCATAATTTGCTGGACTATATCATAATAGCGCTTTCGTTAGAATAAGATTGTTTTGGTTTTCTACGTATTCTAATCATGGGATGAACAGATTTAGATGACAGCTTTTATTTCATCACAGTCAGCTACAACGTAGAACTTCGGGCGTACGTACATCAGTTCAAGATGCTTTATCGCATCAGCACAGAGTTACAATGGTCATTCCAGATTCCATATTAGTAGATGTAGTAGAATTATTAGCGGTAATGGAGAAGAATTGGTTTCGAAGAAATTATTCAAGAAGTATGGTCCAGTGAAATAAATTTTACAAAATGTAGAAAGATAAGGGTGATGCGGAATTCCGAATATTAGAATTTGAGAGAAGACAAAGAATAGTTGCATCTGTGCCATTGCAAACGATTTTGAGCCATGCCGTTCAAGGTCTCCAAACATCGGTTACTGTCTTCTCGCGGGCCCCAACCTGTTAGTCTACAGTGATTAACACATATGAGTAGTGTATGCGTCATTTTAAATATCCAGTCAGATTTGAATGTGTCGTGCTTTCAGTAGTTGACATTGACTAGTCAATTTAATGCATATGTATAATTTGCGATGTCAATTGATTAACTGTTTTTGCTAGCAAATATAACTAGATTACTGTGTTACATTTTTGCTTCTTCGTGTGAACTGACTATCATGTATAATGTTTATTATTAATTGATGTTTATTAAATGAGAGAAATATTCGTTATTGATAATAATCGATCGAAAAGTTGAGACACGTTCATTGTAACTGAAATTGTTGTAAATATAGTCAGTTAACATCTTATAATATGACAGATATGGCATTCCCAAAGAATGTAATGTTTGGTAGTCTTGTTCGTAGGTGTATTACGATGGTAAAATAGTCGGGTAAAGCAATAAGTGGCTGTGATTTTTGTGCTGTATCGTGAAATATGCTGCATGAATGGTATTAATTTATAATTTTTGATGCGTGAAATTTCCTTGTTTTACTGACGAAGTAGATGTGACTCAGTATATGTTGTGTATTACTAAAAATGGCATAACTAGTGTACACATTATGAATGGTTAGATTTTCTATAAATTGATCAGTCATAATAATGAATATATAATAGTAAGTCTACTGGTATCTAAACATCCAGTAGAATAATAGTTTTTTTTTTAAATGTACTTACGTTTGCTACAAAACACCTAGGTTAATATTTAAGAAGTTATTCCTTTTCTTAGATGGATCCAATCGGTCATTATTTTGATCACTGTTGACTGTTGTTTTTATCATGTTACACATAATTGGAAGGTTAGTGTCTGTCGAATTCTCATTTGAATTATCTATGAAAACATTGGTAAGGATCTCTTTCATATCATAAAAAAATGTGTGATTCTGTTGTTAATTAGTGAGTTACTTTCGGTTCAGATAATTTTCAACAAGTAACAGTAGCATTATATAAAGCAGAAGAGTTATTCCCTTAATCACAAATCTATGCTGTCTTCTTTTACAAATTGTTTCATCGTAGTTAGTGCTAAGTAAATTTTTGTGTAAAAATAACCCAGTATCTAAAAGGAAATGAGTGTTTGATTTTACAAACAATTAAAATGAGTAACAATTTATTTTGTACGAAATGTTGATGTGTATGCTTGTAGTCAGTATCTGTGACATAGATCCAATACTTCTGTAAATTAATCCATATGAGTTCTTTTTTTATTAAAAAAAGGAGATTTATGAACGAATATCAATCTTAAGGTGTCTGCTATTAACTATAAGGTGGTGGAAAGTTGTCAAGTTGATTGTAATTTTGAACATAACCTTGTTGTTCTTGAGGATAAGAATATGTGACATTATTATTTTGAGTTGATGGTTGCTGTTCATTTTTCTGGTGAATTCTCAAATTGTTTTGAGCTGCAATCGGACCATTTAAACAGGTCAGTGAAAAAACATCTAATAAACATATTCCACTAGCCAAAACAAGAAATGCGGTTTGAACAATAATTTCTACCCGATATTCATAATAAACCTGTGCATCTATAATGTCAATAATCCAGTTTATTGTAAATAACGAAAGCATAATCCCAATTAAACATACAAGTAAATTAAGCAGAGCGAAAGATATGGCTAATTTGTAAAATTTCCCATCTCGTCTACTTTTTTCTGTTGAATAAATTAAAGTAGTAAACAGAATAAATGGACTTGTCCAGTAACCGATATAAAATGTTACTGGAACAAGTCTCATGTTGTAGGTGTATAATTCACAGATCACGATGGTAATTATTATTATCATTGAACAAGTTGTTGAAAACACTGCAAATAAAGGAAAAGGGAATTTTGGTTTCTCAGATATGTTTTCCATTTTTCTTAAAACTATTCTTGTTTTTAGAATGGTGCTACAATTTTTGGATTTTTAAATTTAGCTTTATATATATAAATCCTAATAATGAGTTACGCTCTTATTTGTTTATTATGTTGTCCCTGTAATCCGGTTGGTTAAAATTATTTTGATAACAAACTTTGGTAACTACAACAACGGGTGGTAGCTAGAGTTTTATAGATAGAAATTTAACTCCATAGTCACATAGAAAATAAATTTTCCTCATTTTATGAATATTTTTCTTTCTTTCCTTACAAATATTGTAAATCTATGTTATCCGTAATTGAATAAATACATGAAGTTTTCCAAATCGATCGATCAGGATCAATAAGCTTGCATTACAGATAGTATCGTTCTCACAAAATTGAAAAACAACGAAATTAATAAGATTCTTTTATATTGGTCTACTAGGTTTATATAACAACATAGTATGAAAATGGTTATTGCCAAAAATTCAGTTCTTGTCGATTGTAACCATGTATCCAGCTTGATATAGTAATTTGATAGTTATATTTCCCTTTGTACGTGCATCTAATAGAATGACAATCTAGTCTTTTCTACACATTTCTCTTTATTTACTACTACTTTAGTATGCTGTTTATTCTTCAATGTTAAAATGGAAAGATTTTTTCATTGCTAAATAAATACTTGAGAATGTTTGTAGTTTCAGAAAATAAATGTTATTGATTTTACCTTCTTTGAAATGTTTGGTATAGTGAATGCGCTATCGAAAATACAGTATAGTATATTTGTGATAATATTACTGCTGTCAATGAAGATACAAACTTTTAACAAATTTATTGAATCTATCAAACTTTTCTACAAAAATGTAATTCCTCATTAACTCTTTCTTAAATTATTTGCTATAGTTTGGACTTTAGGATTTGTGAATTTGAAATAACTTATGTAAAGTTATCAATTCCATGCAACAACACTCGAAAATAGGCAATGGAAATGTAAGAATCGTTCATTTCCTCCTGTTTTACGAAAAAGTATGATTAGTCATTTAATTTCTAACTCATATTAATGATGTCTTTCAAAAAGTCACCAACTGTATGATAAGCTCGTCAGTTGATATGCTTGAAACTATTACGTGTTCACCTTATCGGTAAATGAGAGCGAAGACAAATGATCCAGTGACACGATGGGCTATTCTGATTCGATTGTACCCGGCCCTGCTGATGATATCAAAAGTCTTGATATGGTGTAGAAAGTGTAGTCTACAAGCACCCAGAAAATATGAGGTTTTCAAGCACACAAGTCGAGTTTATTTATACATGATAGAAGCGTCCTTGTGAGAGCCACAAGAAGGCGTACTGAAATAATCCACCAACCAATTAGTCTAGGATTTTCTGGGTGGGAAGAATAACTTCGAGGTCATCTGATCAGTTTCTACTAAGAAAATACGATTTGTGAAAAATAAACATTATTGTACTTCTTTTGTTTAACTGTACCAAAAACACTTCTTCCACCTCTGGAGCGCAACGTTCTCTTCGCGTTGCCGCCATTTTTCTAATATGCCCTGCTCCCGATGTAATGCCTACTGTCTCCTTCAATAAAATCTTGGTACATGGATTTATGTTGATTTACGTGACGGGACCGTATGGAACATTTAGTGGTGATCATAGTCAATCTGGTATCTTGACTTGCTCACTAAACGTGAAAACACAAAATCCAAAGTTAGGACTTTTTTCAACCGAGTTCTGTGGATCTAACGAACCCAACACTGTAAGATTACAGGTTCAAATAATACTTTATCTATTTTCACTGGGATAGATCTGATATAACAAAATGTAATAATTCACCGGATCATGCTTATAAATTCTTTAAATTTTCAGCCTTTATTGACCGAAACTTTGATATTATTTATAATTAGTTTGCTAATGGCTTTAACTTAACTTCAGCAGAATTTTCTCCAAAATTTAAGTAAACCATTAAAAAAATCCATTTCTTTCTCCTGAAAGCTTATTTTTCTCAAATATAGATATTTTTCACTCAGCAAATAAATGAATTCCCGAAATCTGATCTTAAAATGAGTTTTTCAATTAACGCCTGAAAATCAATGATAATCAAACGATGAAGCAAACACATAGTTTGAATGTATGCTAACGGTACAACCCGTATTAATATAAGAGGCATTGTACCAACGTACGCTAAAAAGTCAATACAGAACAATCTTTTGAACCCGAAATCTACAAGTTCACAAACCAAGGTTTCGAATGATCTGTCCGACGCCGATCATAATAGTATTAACCATGTAAGCGATATATGACAGTTACAAACTTCACCAGCCCGAATGAACCATAAGCTTAACGAGTTAGCACCCCTCACGTAAATATGGGCCTAAAATAATGATAGAAACCTCGAAGAACCAACTAAAGCTGAAAACATCCTAGAGTTTGTAGCTGAGGAATTTACGAAAAAACTAGGTTCTTCCTATGATGCGATAGCTTATAATTTCCCTGAGCGCACATACTCAACAAAGCTAAGAGGTACTTGCTTTAGAGCGTGTGGCGCAGCAAACGTCAGCTGTCAAATTATTCGCCATAGAAAAAAATCCTTGTAAATCAACATGCCCCTTTATGTTCACATTTGGCTGCTGTAAGGAAGTCAAACAATCTATCCCACCACCATTCCTAAATATCTCACGTCTGAGTATGTCAGGCCTTACTGCTCGCCCTCGCTTCACATTTCCTATAGTTCTCTCAAATTCATAAACAGGAGAGCGATTTAGATCAATTACCCACTCCGGTTGATTGGAGATGGTAGGTAACGGATGTTTGGCTGAAGGGTAGTTGAACTGATCCATAAAGTGTTCTTCCCATCTATCCAATCTCCTGGTTTCAGAATGGATGAAACTACTACCCGTTTATGAAATAGTTTCACTAACAGATGGATTCATAGTACCAGTTTAATTGATAATTCGAAGCAGTAGTTTAATGTTATCTATTGCCGCTGCTTTTTCCGAAGCTCTTGCTATCGCTACCCAACACTGTTGGCACTCATGGCGTAGGCTTTTCGTCAGCCTTTGCAGAAGCTGATTTCGCTCTTTGTCAACTTCAATGTAAGGGTGGTGAGCCTTCAAGCATCTAACATTTCAGTATACGCTAATAAATCCACTGCTATTTTTTTTAAGTTTTTGGATATCGTTACAAGCAACTTTGGTATGGTAATAACTTACATGGCCGCTGATTGTTTTTATAGGTTCTCCTTATAAGAGGTTTCCTCGAAGTGTCGTTCCTACGTCCGGCAAGTCGCAAAAAAATACACGCTCGCACTAGAGCGTGATCTGAATCTAAACACATGCTCCAGAACGAGTACCAGCCTTATATCGAATCCCTCCTTTGGTGGCTGATAGCAGCATGATCTAGTTGACTCCAGTGTTAGGGCGACTTCGTGGCTCGCCGTGTCAACCGGAATCCAGTCTAAAAGAGCTAGTTCTGCTATACGATAGAAAATCTCGACCACCACGTCAGGGTAGCAGCCACGGTCGAGTAGGTAAAATCTTCGGTCGGGATGGCAACCTGTCCCCAACTTAATGACCCTTGCAAATAAATCAAATCTTATCTACGAGCAGCGTCTACCGGCCTATTAATCTATCCGTCCGCTAGAGGTAAAAGCTAAAACTGTTGTGACAGACAAGATGAAAGTGATCCGAATTTAAATTTTAATAAGTGCAGTAGATTAATCATTTAGCTCGAAATCATGACTTCCCTGTGCAATAACCTTTTTCGTACAAATTATCTGTGCCTCGACAAATATTTTTGTCGCCGTCACTAATGAAGAGAAGTCATCAAAGTTATGAAGATTGTAAGCCTGTTTTGTAAATTATTTTCGCATATGATCTGGTGTATCTAAGTTGTGATAAATATATTTCTCATTTCGTCGGTATTGTTTACGGTTAAGTAGTTAGTGTAGTCAATGCTTCTGAGGCAATTTCGGAAGTTTGCCCAATCACTCTTACTATAGTCTCTGCGAGGTGTACTAGAGTTATGCTTTATAGGTGTGGCTTTCATATCAAGACTACATGTGATAATATAACGGTCATTACATGGGAACTTTCTTTAACATCTACTGTATTAAGAATGAGGTTACTTGCGAGAACTAAATCCAGTATATTGTCATGTCTAGCTGTGCCATCAGTATATTAAGTCCACTCTCCAGGCACTGAGCATCCAGTAAATGATTCAAATAGTTTTGATGATTTGATTAGGAACCAAGAGATCTGAGGCATGCTGAGGCCCCCACAAATAGCCTTGGCTGTAGATGGTAGGGATGGAGCATACATGATTAATTCTGACAATACTGCTAGGTCCCGTGTTGGTGCGTTAGGCTGAATTTCTTCGGATATTTCGTAAAGCAGTCATGGAATTGCTGCTTGTAAAACAACGGAGTGTTAGGTAGGAACAACGAGGTTTAACTTTATTCGGAGTAAACTAAGAAAAGTCTTAAAGTTTTGTTACTATTCCAAGTCTTGAATTATAGGTCACCGTAATTCCAATGAATATGTTGAAACAGCTATAGTATGTCAAGACTGATAAAATGTATTCCGTCCATTGGATGTTGAAGCGCGACTAGAATCAAGACCTTTTATTGTGGTCCTTAGTAAATTTATGCTCGATTATTAGAACAAGGATGTTGGGGCACAGTGAACAGATGTTTGGAACCTATACCAATTAACAGGGCAGCAACTGCATTTTTAGATAGACGCTAGCCATTAAAATCCGTCAATACCGTTATTACCGTCTCGCGATTGAACACTTACCTCAACGCCTTGATTGTCAGAAAACCATCAAGACACCTGCATAACGAATGAATAAATAGGGGATCATAGCATCGGCTAATAACTGAACCAGAATAATTCTTGTGAATTATTTGCCAAGCCTCAGACAATAGAGTATGTTAGGATCATTTTTTATAGATGGCGTTCCGGCCGATAACATTTATTATGGTTTGTTGTGCGACATACAGTTGCTCTTGTCTTCGTCCGTCAGGGTGTGGGCCTTGTCCAGGTTTCGTTTTATCAGCCCATGAAAACCCAATATAGAGGAATAACATCACACTCATCAGAACATACAGTACCATCAAGAGTAGCCGAGAATTCATCCTGAATGACAAAATGGAAAGGAAATCTACATTTCAGATAAGCATTCAAACTTCTTTGAATAGCAGTGAATGTAGCTTTGTGGGAAGGTATCTTTTTTTGAAAAAGTACTGGTCTATCTAAATAATGGGGTTATGAATGCCTAGACGTACTGTCTATTCTAGCATCAGTTAATTTGTACAAACTGGACAATCAATTACTTTGATACAGAATACTGTGACAAAGATAGGTAACCTCGTAACCAAAACGGTCTTCTGACCAACTGATTTTAACTATGTATTTAAACGACTAACTATCCATGCTACAATGGCCCGAGAATATGGCTTAGCATTAAACTAATTACATCAATAACATCGTTTCAACGTTCTTCTGACTCTAAAAGTCCTCCAATAATCTAGAAACCACAGTAAAACCTTTGAAATTATTTAGAATTCGAGTGTGCACTTCACTGTACGTGATAACTTATGAAATCTAAGCAGTTGGCTTTTTGTTAGGCTAATATTTTCCCACTCTTTAAGTATATATTGAAAAAAATCTAGAGATATTAGTGGCTGAGTTACGGCCGTTTTGATGGTTAATATATCAGGATTCATGTTCAACAGTCTTTTAGCATTTATTCAGAAGCTATCGCTTCAAATGAGACTGAATCTAAGCATATCCTATTCCGTCCACCACCATCACTCAGGATCAAACTGATTATTAATTAAAACCAACTTTTATTTTCGAAATTTGAAAAAGAAGAGGTTATTTCGTTCGGAGGAAGGTCTTTCTAAGCTTTTCAAGAGAACTACACGATTTTTTCACTCTAAGCGACCAAACAAGTAATGTAAGTTGTTTGTGTTCACTGATGTAAATGGCGGTTTGTTCAACCACATTACTGTGATGATAGCGCTTGGTGTGGTTTTCGTCATTGGTGGACTATGAGTTGCCAGGCCTTTTCTAAAAATATTGGTCCAGCTCTGATTGCATGGTTTCTCCTTATATTTCTTACTGCCTTATACTTGTCATTTATGTAAGTTACTGTAAGTCCGTTAATAACTTTTCAGTTGTTGGGATTTTAGCAAAGAAACTAGTTATGCATTTACTGTATGTCATTCCTTGCTCTTTTTCTTCGTGGTCTCCGCATTTGGCAAGGCAACCTTTATGGACCCTGGTTATTATTCCATGGGTGCGTCTATACATTTCACACTAACCATTTTCTAATAGGGGTTCCCGGTGAAAAGGTGACTACAATTGAGAAGGGTTCGCCTCGTACTGTAATGTATAAATCTGTTGACATTAATGGAGTTTCCACCCGCCTTAAGTGGTGTGTCACTTGTGAATTCTATAGACCTCCTCGTTGCTCTCACTGCTCTATTTGCAAACATTGTATTGATGTAAGTTCTTCAGTCTTTCAGTACATCTGTAGACATTTGATCATCATTGTCCTTGGTTGAACAATTGTATTGGAAGAAGGAACTACCGGTATTTTTTCTCGTTCCTGCTTACATTAACTCTCCATATGATTATCGTTTTTGGCGTTTCCATGACTTATGTTCTGATGCGTACAAATCAACTCTCTCACTACAAAGTCATTATTGCGTATCCTTAATCGTTTGTTTCTTAATTCTAACCAAAAAGTTTTGAAAATCCTTAACTCGTTTCATAGTATTGGTGTGTTAATTTTGGTAGGCCTATTGCTGCTTCCTGTGCTAGGTCTGACAGGATTTCACATATTTTTGGTGAGCAAAGGACGAACTACAAATGAACAAGTAAGTGTTTAGTGATTTTTTTGAGAATTATTTTGGTGCATACTTCGTCAAGATACCTTTAACTAATAGACTGAAGGCCGGTTACACTAAGTCACTGATTTAACTAGTTTCTATATATCAGGAAAATGCATCTGTGATTACTTAAGATTTGAGTATAGATTTAAGGGTCTTCGATAAGCCGCTGATCTGGTTTTGGTGGTCGAAGTCCTCCATAATCTGGGATTCGTGAGCTAACTTGTACAGTCACAAAACTGATGGTGTAAGTGTCTGATTTTTGAGTGCAAGACGTGAAAAAATATTTTCCCGGGGACTTATCTATCAGTGTTCATTGTCTGGTATTACAATGTTATTTCAATTCATCGGTGTTCCAGTTGTGTCCTTGTATCTGTACAACAATTAAATTGTGCGGCTCGAAAACCATGTAGGCCTTATAAAGACAGCGTAATATTTTAATATTAAATGTCTATGGTCTGTTGTTACATTTTAGCTATGCAAATCATCTGTATAATTTCGATCGTTTAAGTGTCTATTTGTTAACGAATAATCCTTGCAAATAATTTTCCCAAATAGACTCCGATTTTGTCTTCGTAAGTCAACACTTAGTCTCTTCTGAAGTCCTATTCCATAACTGTTTCATGATTGTAAAATATTTTAATTGTAGTTGTTGATTTACCTATTATTATATTTTCGTGCTGCAACATTTTCTTCATAATTCTAAAGGTCACTTCAAAATACGATCTTGACATGAACCCTTATGATCGCGGCCTGTGCAAGAACTGGCTACACATTTTTTGTTCCTCTCAACCACCTATGTAAGTTTCGTTTCCGTAACTTATTTCATATTTTTCATGTAGATTGAATCGACCAAATGCATCAGAAGTGGATATGTGGGAGTTGTATAATGGTAAATCGACCAAATATCTGCAGTCTTCGAATTTACTCTCTGGTTTCAACAATTCCAAATTTCTTGATACCTTTGTAAGCTCATACATTTTGTTGAAGTATTCTGAAGATGGTTGCCTTTCAAATTCATTGTCTTGATATTTTAATCAGTAGATTGAGCTAAACAATGTATTTCTAGTCGAATAAGATTTATCTTAGTTTGCTTTTACTTGTACAGTATAATATAATTTAATATTTACTCATACTGAGTATGTGTAGGTTTTCATCTATGGCTTTTCTCGCTTCATATAAGGAATCTTCTGTATAAATGTACTAATTATTGATCACCGTTACAACCTTTTTATTTTTGTGATAGTTAAACTCATGTTCAGATATGTTTTCAGTTTTGTAATCATGTTACTTTTGTATGTGAGTAATCCATCTCTTAACATTCAAATATGAATTCTATAAATTTTATCAAAAAACCCTACATAATTTTAGGCATTAATGACAATTAATAGGCTTGATAACCAATCATTCCGTTGTATCGAGAAGATTTAGCTTGTATAAGAATGATCTTAATCATTTTCCTAATTTTTACTTGTTCGAATTTCGGTACCCTTTCCCCAAACGACTAGTCAATTGTCAGTTTTTCTATTTATTTATTCAAATGCATAAACGATGGTACAAATAGGGCACCTTAATATTTATGCTCCACACAAATTAATAAATTTGTGAGTAGGCTGAGATAATGCCTAGACACTCAAGCCGAAGTAGTTGCTTATCTTACGGGATCCTTCTGCGAGCCTTTGACCCAAGAGGTCTAGTTCACAGAGTCGTGGAGCAGCACACGAAGATGCAGTTCCATGGTAGCCGATGACCAACAATAGGTTAATACGCCATTTGTTCCATCAGGATATTAAAGCCCGTATACACCACTGGTTTGGACTCAGGGTTTTCCAACTCTAGGTAAGTCCTCCGTTCTCACGAACTCGGTTCAAGCCCCGTACGTTCGTTTTTCGAGAAGACAGCAAGTAGGACTTCCCTAGCAGTACCTATATACGCATGACTGAGTATGTGAAAATATTTCGAGAGTGTGTATGTGAGAGAGCGTACTCTCGCCATTCTTAGCCGTATCAGGACATTAGCCGTACCGTCTTACTATGAAATCAAATCATAGTGCAACTCGCGTGCTTCATATGACATACGAAGTTAATACAAGACAATAGTCTTACCTTCCTTAAATAGTAGATTCGTATAGTAAGTCATAAATGAGACTAGTTTTCACATCAATGATTTGGTTGCTTATCCCGCTCTGTATTTATATGCTCAAAGTTTGACCCCACAACACACCACATGTATAAACTAGTAATACGTTATTACTATAACATCCATTATTTGTACGTTTCACTTGACTGGTGTCATGAAATTCTTGCCAGGGGGTTAGACTCAATTTGTATTCTAAAGTTATGTAGATCGAGTTGTCATTTATATTATTGAAATCATTTTGTCTATCGGTCATAATCAACGTAGAAACCTGAACGAATTCGAACTAGCACGATTTTTCATAACATTGAAAATACATAATGGAATTAATAAAATAAGTAAAAATGAAGTCACAATAATTATATTAGCAATGATAATGAGAAAGACGAAACATTAAAAATAAGGTTTGAGAAGACAGTAACATGATTTGTATAGATAAATACTGTGATTCATGACTTGGAGGGAGGTGAGGAATATATCTATGTTTTTCAGTGTAACCGATTCCGAGCCATGTCACCTAGTATCTTCAACCGCTACTATTGGTCGTATGGACTTTAATCAGGTAGTTCTCACCTACCAATATAGTCTAAACCAGTAGTAATAAGTTCTTTATAATGATTTAGTCGTTTCGTTACTTCTTGGATCTGTACAAGTTATTGTCTTCCCAGTGTATTTGCGTTAAAAGTACTCAAAAAATTTGTTATATTTATCTTTTCCAGTTTTTTTATAACGGTTTTATTTTCTTTGTGTATCCGTATAGAAATCATCCTATAAAAACCCGGCTGATATTATTAATCAAGAAGTTTGTGAAAAGGCGGATTTCGAGAATATCGTAAATCACTCTTCTGATCAGCGAAACGCATCCACTGTAGTTTCCAGTGTTCATCATGAATTGAACAATTCTCTTTCACCCGATTCACAACCAAAAGTGTTATCTCTTAAAGAGTTTTCAAATGCAACTTCCATTAACGAAGACCTTGTATCTAGATCTCAGTCTCCTGTTTGTGGAAGGACTGGTGGAATAAATAAGACAAATCCAAATCTTGCTGTAGGAGGAACAAAGTCTTTAGGGAATAAAGACCAAAGTAAAAGTTCACAGGTTGTGACAAATGCACCAAAATATGTCTCAAGTGGGAATAATACTAGCTTTACTTCTAATATTAATTCTGTTGTAACAGCCACTAATGTTTCTGTAAAAACTATATCTAATAGAGATCATTTCGTTACGAAAGGTGACCATTTAACTCCACTTCTAGGATCTCAGGCAAATTCGGACGTTGACTTGATTCGGGGACGTCAGTTGCAAAAGTTTACTACAGAAAATCAAAGTAAATCAAGTAGTTCGCTTTACCGCAAACAACAGGATCAAAATGGCACCACTGGAATTGGAAGAAGTTCTTCACGTGATGTTTTTCTTCGTTCCAGTGAAATTACATGTCCTTGTACAACATCTGATTCGATGATAAATATCCGTGATCGAGTCACCTTACCCATAAATACATATAGTGCACCGGTTTCCCAGCCAAGATTCGTTACTATTGAACGGTTCAATACTGATCAGGATTTGAATGGTACACAGTGTTCACCTAAATCATATTCTCCCTCCTCAGGCCGTGGTATACATTACGTCACAACAGCTACGCCTGCTTGTTCCACCCCTGGGTCTGTAAATCTTCCAACTAGCAATATATCAAAGGCTATGATGAAATCAATGAGATCAGAACACCGCCGTCACGAATTTCCACATAAAATTTGTTCTCGGTATCCTGGAATGCAAGTCGAACAAAAGCACTTGTTACCCCATAATGAAGTCACCCATCATATTTCTCCACAGTCATTTCACAGTCTTCCTCCACCTTTGCCTCCACATGGCTCTCAAACAAATATTTCTCATCCTCGTCCACTTTGGCCTCCAGTTGTACCTCCTCATGGCATTTCTATATCAGCTCCGTGTTTTTTGCCGGTTGATTCAACGAGCCAATTTAATGCTAGCGTAACATCCTCTAATCTTCGTTTCGTTAAGCCACCTTATTTCAATAATCCTGATGGCGCTCAAGTGGATGGATCGAGTTATTTTATAGGTAGTCCACGTTCAAATGAACAGTCTGCCTCAAAATATATACCTCAGTCATTTAGTTTGAATTACTATCCTTCAATTTCGACACAAATTGATACACGTCCTACGCCACCGTTACCTCCACATAATCGAATTTCTAAAGTTAATACACCAAATAATCGAATGCAATCAACTGGCCCTAAAAATTCTAACAATTTAGTCACTCGATGGCGAAAAGATGGTGATTCTAATTCTCCTGATGGCACTTTTGAAATCTCAGTTTAGGGAGTGTGCGTTAACCATGTGTTTTTCCTAAAAAACAAAGCTAAAATGATTACCCAAGTTCTTTCACTTTGTATCTTCTTAGTTATTTTTTGTTTTTAGTCTTTCAAAATATATTTTACCACTTCAACGTTGTTTGTCATTCAACAAAAAAGCTGTCTTATTTCTTTTGTAAACCACCAATTATCATATAAATAATGCTTTTAAACCATTTTTTTTATGTACTATAATTACAATAATGTGTTTATAAAAATTAGTATTTACAAATTATAAAACAATTTTGGTAGACAACCAGCTAAAGTATTCTATATGTTTTTATGAATTAAACAATTATACATATATTTATGTGCAATAAAAAAGAACCACCCTTGATTTTTACTTATTTCTTCTTCTTCTTCTTCAGAATTTTGTGCATATTTTCTGTCGTATTCGTATGATTCTTTCTATTTAAAAAGCATTATTTATAAACTATGCAACGAATTCTTATTGATGTTTATAGCGATCATCAGTCAAAACAAAATAAACAATCTATTCCAAACCAAATTTTGTTTTAAAATGTCATCTTATTTTACAAATGTGTTCAGTATTTAATAATGTAAACATATAATTAAAAGAAAAAAAACTTATGCATGTGTGTATGATATGATTTTTAGTTTTTAATAAATCATGTAATCATTTATGTATCTGTCTATTCATGAATATGTAAATTCGAACTCACTACTTATTATCAATAAATAAAATGAATACTGCTGTTATTGATGCTGAACTACAGTTACTTTTAATTTGTAATTTTATTTTAAAGAAAATTCCCTCAAAATTTACTATTACCAATTCTGTTATGTTTGCGTATCCTATGTCCTTTTTGCTCTTAATCATGCAATATGAATATACATTTATACTATGTTAAATTGATTGTGCTTCATTGTTGGACAAGTACTGTGTATGCCTTTATGTAGTACGTTGTTACGTTAAAATTGTATACAATTTTCTATTCTATGCAGAAAATAAAACTGAATTAATACAATGTTTATTCTTTTTGATGTCTGTTTGGCATTGTGAATTACTGTTACTCTAAGATATTACTTTAATGATTTATATGCATCAATAATTCATTGTGGTAGATTTAATTAATGAGTCAAAGTAAATTTCCTGAACTTTCGGAATTCTGTCAACTTCTATGTAATTAAAAAATCATGTCTAAATATATCGCACCTGCTAAGTAACTGGTGCCAATATCAATTTAGTACAGTAGTGTACGTATGTTTATTTTTATATGCTTCTTATATAGATCCGTGTTTGCAGTTGACTATATTTAGCATGTAACCGCCTAGTTCATAGCATTGGCTCCTCGTACATTGGAATTAACTTTGGTTGCTGTTCTAGTCTTTATTTAAAATTTCTAATTTGGTTATTACTTTCTGTAGTTGAGGTTATCTCATACTTATCTGTGTTGTCTTAAAAGTCAGTTTCATCTTTCAAGTATTTCTAATGTTGAGGTTGGAAGTAAGTTGTCATTATCTTAACTATATTATCTGTTTTCTTGAAATTGTAAATATCGTCCGAGATTATTACTACTTTGGATCCTCTGTCAGCCATTTTGAATTTAATTCAAACGCAAAATTTTTTTGTTGCTTCACTGAAAATAATGTAGTGCCTAATATATTTTATTAGTCTTTTACTAACTTTTAGACGTGTATTTACATTTAAATAATCTAGACGTTCCATCTATAACTCATTTTCTGGTGTTCATTACATTTTGATATCTAATTTCCTTAAATTATTATCAATTTTCACCCTTAAGAAGTTTTTATATCCACTCAATCATACATGTAGTTGTTCATATATTTTACCGTTATGAATAACTGGTTATAATCTTTTGAACTGTTAACTATGCAAAATCTTATAAGCTCTGATAATCTCTGCTGAGGATCTGTTTCTCTAGTTTGTATTGCGAATACAAAAGATCGAGATCCTGTACTTCTGAATTAACCCTTATTTTTAACAAATACACAACTAGTCCATGTTCTATCTTTTTTGAGGGTTCTTCTAAATTTATAAACTTATGAATTTCTTCCTAATTTTTATTTGTTAAGTTGTTGTAATTATTATTTAAATCGAGAATCTGGATTGTAAAGATCCAGACTTATAAGCCATATTCTAACTGGTTCAATTCCAAATTATTTTAATAAATTCGATTGATTAAAATGTTTTGATTTGTAGTATCCTTTTCTTGTTTGAATGAATGTTTGTAGACTGTGTTTACGCTTTGATTCGTTGAACTTCACCTATTGAGTTGTCGTTTTTTTCAGTTGTTTTATTGAATGCACCGGATCGAGGCTTCAGTTTAAAACAATGGCATCAAGTTTATATGACGATTTAGATATTTTAGACGGAACACCACTTGATAATTTAGCATCAAGCGAGTTGTCGAATAAATCAGGAAATGCTCCATTGGTTGGTTTACGGGTCACTGCTAACTGGTCAGAATCTGATGCTACATTATCTAATCAATTCAATGTAAATGCTTCTTCAGTCAATTCGAATTCCAGGTAAGTTGTTAATAATTCGTTGATTTAAAATTATTTCAATATTTCACCCAACGTAATGGTTGGATAAGAATAGCATTTCTTTATTGTTTCATTCTTCATTATTTTACTCGTATTTACATTTAATTACTATTTGATTTCATATTGATCAATACTAATGGGAAAAATGATGCATCATATATTTACATTACTACTACACAAATGTATTCGTCGCATAACTATCAACTGATGTATAAGTATAATAGAATACATAGTGTTGTTGATAATAACTAAAGTGTAGCGGTAGGTAACATGATTTACTTCTTCAATAGTATAGTCATGTATGTATGCGTAATGTGTGCCGGATAGATATCTATAAATTTTATTTTGGTTATTACTTTTTATATCATAGTTCCTTATATTCCCTGTTTTTTATCGTATAAGAATTGTTCCATTATGCTTTCGTCGGATAAAATGAAATTATTTCACTGATATAATATCATTGATAATAGCATCCTTACTTTGTAGTATAAAACTTGAAACATAGTAGAGGTGTAGAATGATAACTTAGGGATAAAAATGTCAGGGCTTGCAAATTACGGATTGTAAGTTCGAATACCGTGTGTATCTATCGCAGTTTGTGCAGCCGAGCAATATCACTAGTCCTCATAAACTGTTGGTCAAACCACAACACGAACACACCCCTGGTAAATGAATACCATCACGGTAACGAGTAAAAATAGTCTAAACACAATAACGAATTTCCCATACCACGCACATAAGCAGTAGTGATCAAATGAGTCGAAGGTAATATTAAGAATGGCGTTAAAGTCAATGGACTATCTTGTTTGCGAAATTGTATGCGGTCGTATCCATGATGTTGATTCTACGCAAACCTCTAAAATTTTGAGACTGGAAGCTCTAACCACACTATGAAACAAGCTTTTATCAGAAACAGAATGAAAGTTAAATAAATCTTAACGCCAGTGTATAAAGTTTATTTGGACTGTTGAGGTTGTGTTGCGAACTGTAAACTGTAAGAAATCGCTAGTTGCAGACTATGGATAGGAAGATACCAGACTTGAAGATAATCTATATTTTTCATTTCGTTGCCGAAACATTCTAGTACTCCTTATCTGTGTATTTTTTATCGGCTTAAACGTGGACCGTATATTCCTTTTTCTATTTAGTTTCTTATAAACATGTTTTCACTTTATTGCCCGTTTGATGCAATTTCAAATCAAGTTCAGTAAACTTGATCGATACTTTTTTGTGAATAGTCCTTCAATTTAATTAGAATTTCACTGAGAATTGTGTATTGATGAATCAATGCCTTTTCCAGTAGAATCACCTTTATTTAAATTTACTTCTAGTCTAAAATTAATGCAATCCCACATGGCTGTGAAACGTGCTCAAGGTCGACGCCCTGCCACAGATTCTTCCAATTCTCAGTGGAGTTCTCGTTCAACATTAGCCCCAGTGGTCGATTTGAAACAGCGTGTATCACACGTAGATGGTTCTTACAGGTACTGACATTTATTCAGAAGTTAATATATTTTGTGTACATTTTATATTTTAAAAAAACTTATAGGATTTACTTCTGCTGCAGTACTTTATATATATATCTAAACGTAGTACATTATCAAAACAGGCTTTTCCTTAAAATCTGTCTGTTCTTTACAGTTTTTGAATAAAAAAGGAATTTATTATGAGAATCGATTAGGTTTCTTGGTACCATTATTTCATAAATTTTACGTTTGAGTTTTAATAAATTTGTTAACTACTTTTTGTGTTTAGGTATGTGCGTTTATGTTGAAGGATAATCTGTTTCCTGTGATATCAGTAAATATTTTCTGGTTTAATAATATTGTTGAATGTTATTACTGTTGGTTCTCAAGTGTATCAAATGCTAATCTTTTAAAGAAATTTATTCATCCGATTGTTTTTACAAGTTCGAACTGTTTAACCTCATTGTTACATCGAATTTATTAAATATGGACTGTTATAATGGAATTGTATTCTAGTTAGTGTATTCGAACAATTTTGTATAATTGCTACTAAATGTTATGTTTATCTGTTTTCTCTCATCAGTTAAACATAATTTTGAACTAGAATTTTAAGATTTTACTTACGTGATAAAAACTTCAATAAAATATATGAAGAAATGCAAACTACCATGAAATTACTGGAAAGACTTAGATAAACCATATACAAAATCCATACGGCTTATTCATAGAAATATCAAAATCCTATCAAACATCCTTTAAAATTGTCTGCGATTAAGATACACAAACTTCTTTACTTGTTCCAGCCGGTCTATTTGCTATAATGGATTCATAAACATGCTCTGAGTGCACACACAAATCTTCGGCTTCTATGTGGTACCATAACTTTTAATATCCTCTATAGTAAGTTGTGTATCAATAATATTACCTGAATAGTTATCACTATTGTCAAAGGAAAATATTTTTTCACTGTTCTAGATAAAATTGATTATACTCAACATCACGTATTATCATACATCGTGGTGAACCTCCTCGTAAATTTACCAATAAAGCGAATTTTTTGAATAGATAGTATATCCTTACTAAGCACTCATTTTAATTTCGTCTCCGTCACATTAAACATTTTACATCATTATCAAATTGATTTTTGTAAATGTTGTGCTAAATTATAGTATACTGAAATCATTCTGAGAAAGTTGTACTTGTACCAGTTTCAGGGAAAAATGTTTACTCATCAAGTTACTAGTCACAATACAATCATAAAGATGTTTTCATGTCTTCTAATTTGGAAAACATTAATTTGTTTAGTCTGTCATCATCTGTGTATATAATTCTGGAGAATTCACTTTCAATAATGATAAATATCAAATAACTAGATTTTGTGTTTTAAACCAATAGAACTTGCTAATACGATTTTTAATAATCATAATATTTACCTGTTGAAGAATCTAACGATTGATGAAACATAATTTAAGTCATCTGTCATATTTGATGTAATTTTTGCTTTTATACGTAGAATTTCAAATTTCTCTGTGTTTTCACTCTGATATTGTAATTCTATTTCAATGATTCAATGTCAGATATGTAGATAATTTTTCTTTTTAATGAATAATACTGTGTGATTTCGCTTACAGAATTCAAGGAAATGCATTTTCTACTGTTTGTTCTCTAAAGTTTCTTTATTAGAATACATGTAACAATAATCCACTGATTTTCTATTAAATAATGACTCAATTTAGATACCTTATTTACTGAACTCACTAACTTTCTTCAATGTTTCTACTGATTATAAAGTCAAATAAAGTAATCTAACCGTCTTACAATAATATTTTCGGTTATTACTTTTTATAAAGAAGTACAAATGTAACACTTATTTTCATATGAATAATTAATATTCATTAGAGGAATAGTTTTTAAGGTAACCGAGTTTTATACGTAACCTTCATATGTTGGCGATCTGTTTTATCTATATTTCATAATATCGATATAGTGTCCTATATTTGGTGGTGATATGTGAGCTTTAATGTTGTGTATAAGTACACTAATTTACTGAATGCTGTGTACATAAATGTATTTATCATTTGAAACTATCGCAAATGGTACTATTAAGCTTAATTCAACATCAATATTCACATAGACAATTAGAGCAAAGTCAAGTGTCAGCGTAATAGTGTAGCATTTTTTGCGAATGTTGGAACTACCAAGTGGGGGATACTGAGGTTAAATATGTAAAGACGGTAGGCCAGTTGATAACTCTTGATCGACTGAACTGGCTGGAAAATATGCTGTTTACTCTTAGCTACCACTGTACTTCATGTGCAATCAATGATGGCATTAATTTATTTAAGGAAATATATGGGCAACCAAAACAAGGTGTGGAACCAGTCTCTGAAGTCAATGACAGTTGGTCTGGTTCCTGTTGACTGAATGTATTTTAATCCATATTTTATTGACTGGTGATAACACTTAGATGCCCACTTCAAATTTAATGTTGCAACATTAAAAACCTTTGGTTTGTAGGTTAATCATGATGTTGTCATCCATCTAACTCATGTATTTTTATCAGCAAGCAATAACCTATTATGATCACTAAGTTGTATAAAAAGCATCCATTATAGTCACTACGTGTTAATTTTTCCATGATCTTCGATACTATATATTGTTTTATGAATAAATTGATTTTCTTTTTTTAAGCCGAAATATAAAAGGTTAGCAGGTTTGCTGATAATTTTATATTACGTATAAATAATATTTATTCGTATACATAGTTATTTATGTTAACTGGTCGTCACTGATTGATACATATAACTAAATCTGTTGTTACATATGACTAAAAGTTGTTTACATTTTCTAAAAGTAATGATTACATTTCTTTGATAAAATAATTCGGTAACTATGTAAGCTAAGCATTCAACTTCAAAAACCTGTCAACTCACGTGGTTAAATACACTTTCTGTTCTTGGCTCAACGAATCAGGTTGTTCTTGTCTTTTATTACACGATATGTGTAACCTATTAGTATTTTGTTTTGTTTCAGAAATTATTCATTACTAATCATAGGATTTAGTTTTACAAATATGAATTCATACTGCAAACTCTTAGAACTAGTCTGTAGTAGATATTCGTCACAGACTAATCTCTGTTGCTGTGCCATTAAAAACCAAGGAACATTTTAGTGTTATTACAATGCAAACATCGAATATGTTAAGACCAGGTGGGATAGTATATTTGGAGAAGATACAGTTGCAGTGAACGAGAACACAGGTGGGGCAACCGAATTCTATTTAACGAAAATTACAGAGTTACTCAGTAAAATTGGAAAAACCATATCGTAAATCGTTAATTTGCAAAATATCAGTCCATCATATCGAACTGGACTGTTCCTGTTGCAAAACATCAATCCATTGTCACTATTCATGCGTTTCATACAAATTCCATTGTGTTCTAACTCTTCCTTTCTTGATCTTCCCCCATCTGCTGCCAGACATTACGTTGACGCTCACGTCATATACTACTTATAAGTAGTTCGCACCACACAGTTTACGAACAAAATGTGTACATCTTACAATCAAACTTCCATTTACAAAACAAACAGTTTGTTGACTGTCTTCTGTATGCCTTCTTGCCTTTGAAATACTTTGGTCGCGCCATATATTCGGATCCGATACTTCTCTCTAGTAGTAACGTCTGTGTAACACTCCTCTGCATACTACTTATAAGCCTCGCTGTGAGTAGTATTCACCACACCAGCACGTAGAATTATGCAGATGACTTTGAGACAAATGACTTTTACTGATTCGGATAATCACCATTAAATCGTTTCATTTTCATGTAAATATTTCTATTATATTACACCGTTTTGTCTTATTCTTCAATGCTTAGATGGTAAGTGTTGTGTGCTCTGTATATTAAATTGCTTTTGGATTTTATCTGATTCGTTATGATTTATTAGTTGAAAATTATCTCAGGCTCTAGACATTGTTATTAGTATAACTTTTCAACCACCGAAGTTGATAGGCCTAATTTAATCACGATCAATAATTTTATGTTGACTCATTGAAATTGAATAAAAGTTTTTCGTTAATGTCGTAATATAGTTAGCTGGCTGATCAATTTTTCTTAATGTTTTAATTCATACTACTTAACATATAACAATTTAAATACTACTTACTTGAATGTTGTAGTGTGTACTAAATTTTGTTTATTAACGAATATCTCCAAACTTTTTAAAACCCATATGTATAAAACTATTCGCCGACCGGATTTTGTGAAGTTCTGTAGTTACTTATCATTAAATTGTACTCTATGTTATGTACTCTTTGAAGAAAATTTTGCGTTAGTGTCTAGTTATTATCAAAACGTACTTACCTCAAAATTTAAAACATAAAATAGAAAGTATGACTATGAGTTATTTGTGTATTTATCCGTCAATAGATTGTTTTCTCTGTAATTTGGAATATGAACAATCTAGCAAGCGTCTTGTTGTTACTATGACTGATTTCATTGCATGTTTTACTCTCATATTGTCTGATTTTCATCTGTTTGTAAGTTATAGGTTGTATTTTTCGGTTTCACACAATGGATTTTATCAGATGAGAATAAATTATGAACTTGTCAACCTATCAATCATCTCATGTTCAGATTCTACCTTTTAGAAGTATGTAATAGTTGATTCAGATAATCTTCACTATATAAATAAGTACTTGATAATGAAGGAGAAGGAGAGTTACATGCAGTTTTTAGTAATCATTTTAACGAATAAGAATGAAGAGGATAATTAAACTTTTACCATTTTTGACTGCATAAATTGCGTTGTGACAGTCTTCATGTATTCGTTTAACCCCATGTCAATCCAAAAGCCGAATCTTGAGTATATGTTATTCAGACCCCATTAAAAATTAACTAGACTATTGTGTATAAATACAGTTTATATTGTTGTCGATAGAAATTGTGAATAGTTTAATAGCGAAATAGCAACTAACAAATAAGGGAAACCAGTGTTTGAACTCTGTGACAATAAGTGTCGCCAAACTTCGTGAATTCAATCTCTTGATATTATCAGTACCTAAAATTACTGTACCAAAAGTGAGTTGCTTGGAACTGTAATCACGAAAAAACATAACACGATATTTCTACCCGCCGTAGCTGCTACCTTGAAGTGGTGGTCGGGCTTGCCCATTGTAATGACCCAACCGAGCTAAATTGGCTAAAACATATGTTCTTGTAGGTTCTACCATGGAGAACGATGAGACTAAAAGCAGCTGCTCAATGTCTGAGAGCGAAGTCGTACTGCTGACTTTGGACGAGTGTGACAACAATAAGGTGTCTCCCTCGGACAACCAGCATCTGCAGCGATGCTGCCTTTTCACAAGGAAGGAAGGGTTAGAAAAGGTCGACCCTAAAAATGTCACACCTCACCTTACCTAAGGGATTTACGTTCCCGGCGGCAAGGCCTTTTAAAAAGAACGGAGCTAACACTTTAAAACCCTCTCTCTTAAAATGGCCGTGCGTGATTGATCAAACGCAGTTGTCCTTTGGGCTTTGAGGTCACGCTCCCATGTCTCTAAGGCCAACGCTAATCTGCCTTCCTTATCAAGTTATTCCAGAAACATCCTTCCATGGTGTGGGCAGCCGGTATGTGACAACCGCCATCATACCCGTAACACTGCCACTACTTCCTTGTAAATTATTGCAATTTTAACACTCAACATCTCTTTTATTTAGAGATTGTGGTTTTTTAATTGTTCTGTTTAGTTAAAGTGGATACCAACACTTAATTTTATGTGTCTATTAGATATCAACTTTAAATATATTATATACTTAAGTTACTAAAATTAAGAATACAAACTTTTTATTTGATAATGTAACCGAATGATACCACTTATATATTTAGTCAGTCAGATGCAACGTAGAACTTCGTACGTAAGTACATCAGTTCATGTCGCCATACCACATCAGCACAGAGATGTAATTGTTAATTCAAATCCAATAGTAGAAGAGGTAGTAAAGGTATTAAGAGTAATCGGAGAGGTTAGGATTAGAAGATAATATTCAAGAAGTATGATTTAATGAGAAAAGTTTAGAAAGTCAAGACTGAAGGTGTTGACGAACCCAGAAGATTAGGATTTTAGAGAACACAAAGAATAAATGCACCGGCGCCATTGCGAGCGATTTTGAGCCATGTCATTTAAGGTCTCTAACCATCGATTATTATCATCTCGCGGACCCCAACCAGGTAGTCTACAATTACCGACATGGCTAAGTCCACTAGTCAATGACTTCATGGATTTATGCCATGTTTTGGTTTGGCCGCCCCTAACTTTCTTCCAACCTATTCCTACACTACAAAACAAAGCTCGTCGAGGCAGTCGGTGGTTAGGCATAAGAAACACATGTCCCAACCACCTCAGCACTTACTTCATCTATTGATCTGCCATTCTTACCTAGCACCCGATTCCTAATAACAGCGTTGCTCACTCGAGTGTCCCAGGATATACGAGCAATGCTTCGAAGACACCTATGATCGAAAACCAATAACCTACGAATATCTTCTACTCTCACTGGCCATGTTTCACAGCCATAAAGTAAGACGGAGCGAACCACTGCACAGTACACTCGTCCTTTAGTCAGCAAACGGATATCTCGCCTACGCCATAAGTGACACAGGCTGGCAAAAGCCAATCGAGCCTTCTGTATCCGTGCTGAGATTTCGTCAGTCACCAGGCCATCGGCACTGATGAGTATGCCGAGATAAGTGAAGCGGTCGACACGCTCGACTACTTCACTCCCCCTCACAAGTTCAGGTGCCCATGAATCCCCATCTTGAAGCACCATTTTGCGTTTCCAGGAGGAAAACCTCATCCGGAACATGCTTGCATTGTTGCTTAGGGTGGTCGGAAGACTCTGCATTTTGTCAGCGTCTTCACCAAATAGGACAATGTCATCGGCATATTCTAAGTCAATGAGCGTGCTACCTGGTAAAAGGTCCACTGAAAATTCAGACGAGGATATATATATATAGGAAATCATTTCAGTTGTACTCTTTATTTTTACTTCAATGTCAGTTCGGTATCGAATGCTTTCACACTGTTAAATGGATATCACGTATACCATTTATTAACCCTTCCACTTATAATGTTGTTTTAATTAATTAAATAATAATAATATTACTCTGAAAAATTAAGTATTCATACTAATTCTACATAATTTTAATCTTGTCAAAGCTATATATATAAATAAATAATACATTTTTAATGTCTTGTTTTGATGTACCAGTTGTACAACTAGAAATTTCATTCACATTTTATGTTCCGTAATGATTTCGATTACTTTTTAAATTGTGCAGAAGAAAATATTTTTGTGTGACCATATAGTCTGAACTCTGGTTCTGGATTGTTTTTAAATTGTATACCTACACTATTCTCCATTTGCATAGCATCATTGCAGTCATGTAAATTGATTTATGTGTGCTGCATCCACAAATGTTTTATTCCTATTTCCAAATGTAATTCGATATTTTGCTATGAAGTAATAAACAAACTAGAATGCTGCGACTTCATAATAAACATGAGTATACGGATTAATATGCAGTGGGAAATTTGAAATTTCATGTTTTGTCATAAAAAAACACCTTATCATAAAATCCAACTAATTGCCTTCAAATATAATTTCTTTTTTTGAAAAATATTAAAATATATTTTCTTTCTCGAAAGAATGACATTATTAATTATCATGACTGTCAAATTCATGTCAATAAATAAGTATTCACTAGAATATTTAAAATGACTTTCGAAATCGAATCAGACATTTACTTTCCAAATAATAAAATAAATAAAATTCGTTCTTTTTTATTTAATTTGTTAATGCTTTTATTTTTTTGAATACTCACTTAAAAATTTGTAGAAAACATTGAGAGGATAGAATGCTGTCGAGAGAAACTGTGAAGCACTTTTCTTGCTACTGTGATTATTTTGTAAAAACACTTCATTGTGGTACTCTTCAAGTCTAAAAGTTAATTACTTTAAGATAGATTTACTAATTCTCGTATGTGTTTCGTAAATAAAACATGCCAGGAAATAAAATATATTCAATAAAATGTGTTTATTGATGTTGGCCTGTTTATAGAGCATCATTACAAAACTAGTATTTATCACTCAAACTCACGTTTTTCGTCATCAGAGTATGAAGTATTAAAGGAAATGACAAAATTTCTTGTGCTTATTTTTGCTACATGTATCTTCTAACTTTGGAAAGAAAATTGTATTTGCAATGAATTAACAATGCTTTTATGATTACTCGTTATGTTCAGCCTCACTTATATCCTCCACATGTTTGTTTAATTACAGTTTATATTTTAATATTCACTATCATTACGTATTGATGACCATTTAGATTTAATCAATTAACAGGACGATTAGAACGATGTGTTTCAGAAAGCAGTGGAGGTAAATCTAAACGTTCGTTGAAATATTCCAATACAGCTATGACAAATGGTTTATTATTTGGTGAACCGAATCTACCGTTGGGTGTGATGGATGAATATAATCCTATGATTCCTAATGAATATGAAGAATTAGCTCGAATCAAACGTGAACGTAGACGTGCTGAGGTAATTAATTAGCCCAGGTCCAATGATTAATACTATTTAAATTTCAAAGGATTATATTCCTTTTATCACTAATCTTTTTCAAGGTGTCCACATTTCCATTGGAGAAAATTTTCAAATAATCTAAGAAAGAACATTTTTCTCTACATATTTACGACGATATTGTTTGCCAAATTTGAATAGTAGAATTTCTAGTTATTTCAAGAGAATAATAGTTTTCTGAGAAATAGAGGAAACTAATCATCGAAATTTCGCGTCATGTTGTAAAGATCAGAGAAAAATAACAACCTAAAGATTGACTACTTTATTTCATCAACCATTGTTTATAGGATTACACTATTTGTGTAATTAATTATTTTGAAAAAAAACTTCCCCCCTCTTCAAATTTTGTGTGTGTAGATATTAATTAATCCACTATCTGAATAGATTTTTTCAATATTTTATTTCTATAAGCGGTAAACTGTTCATGTTTACTTTGTACGGAAAATATTGAATGATTTTATACATATATAATCTCACTAAACGTCACAACAGGTTGATTGTTGCGCTAGGTATTTGCGAATTCGGTGCACTAACCGTACTGTGAAAGAATGCCCAATTACTCCTAATAATAACAATAAGTACTCGATTCCTGTTTGAAATTATTATGTTGATTGTAGTAGATGTCCTCTCAAAATAGTTTATCAGTCATGTCTTTTCAATAATTTTTCCCCATATTTTTGTCATTTACATGTAACACTGCTTTCTGTATCAACTTAATCATCTCTGTAAATAGGCATGCACCCTGTAATTATTTCTAATATATATATATATATATATATATATATATATATATATATATATATATATATATAGTTTCAGGTTTTTGTTATGCAAACTACTCAATCAGTAATAAATACTCACTTTCATCATTTTCCTCGTATATCTGTTTGTTTATTCAGGAATCAGCTCTTGCAGACAGACATCATCGACTAGATCCATTTGGTATGAACGATCCTTCAGGAATGTGTCGTCGTTATGAGTATTCAGATGAAGAAGATGATGAGGATAATGAATATACTGCAGCCTCTGGTAAAAATTCTTCCCAACCAACAAAAGGTGCTGCTATTGCACCTCCATCTGTTCTACTCGAAGATGTAACTGTAACTCCTGGTTCAAATGCATCACAAAACCCTGAATCATCGACTAATGATGATGATCCTGGCGTTAGTACAGCTAGCAGTAAATTTGGAATGTACGTTCTCTTTAATTTATGCTGTTCATGTCATGCATAGTTCGTTAAGCCATCTTATGCTAGTATTACTTGATTTGATGCATATTTATACTCTACTTCTTGTGAACTATTTTTTTTGGGTGAAACTATTATCTGAGACCGTTTTATATTGTAAAGGAAAATTTAAAAAACATTTGTAGAGGAGTTAAACTCATATACTATAAATCTTCCATAGAGGGCCTAATTTATGTAAATAAATAAATTGTTTAGTAAATATGATTTTGTATGTAACGTGCATAAACTCAGTATGTTCACTACTTAAAAATAATTAAGATCATTTGATATGGTGACAAATTGTTGTTCAGGAGAATAACGAATGGATATTCATTATTTGAATAAAAAGGTTTGGGCGTGGAGCTCTCATTGTTCTTCTGCACAACATCATCAGCACAAGCTTCAGGTAGAAGTGGAATATTAAAATTTCACAGTTTTTCCTATCGACCTCGATCTGGATCGATTATTGTTGGTCATTCTAAGAACATCAGAGAATTTTTAGAAGCTTGGCGATCGGAAGTCAACAAAGATATTGGAACCGATCAAATTTGTTATTCAATCACAAAAAATCTTCGAAAAATATAGGATCAAGTATCTGATCAGTGGAAGAGACACTGAAAATAAAGATTCAGACAATGACAATTTAATAGTCAACAATAACAAATCCAGTTCGTGGCCGACAGGACAGGCTGAGTCATTTGGAGAAATTCCAGTACTTCATTTCTATTTGAAGTTTGTACCGATGATGGTTTTGTGCAGAAGCACTATAAACGCTCCACAACCTAACCATCCAATTTATAAAGCAACATAATAAACTAGAGAGCGGAAGACTATGACGTTATCGAGCACATGAAACATGCACATTGGTATAATTATAAAAGAAAGAATCATATATCTAATAGTAATTACCTAAAACCCAGAGAATACATTTCGCTTGGAATCAGAAGCAGGCATGAAAAGGATGATTAGAACGGGAAAGGAGGGCGCAGGGCAGAGTAGGTTGAAGATTGCTGACCGGCTGTCTATGCTTCGTGAGGGGTTGCAGACGTAAATAAGTAATAACCAAAACATGGCACACAAATCCATCAAGTCACTGCTAACTGGACTGAGTGATGTTGGTAGATGCAGACTACCTGGTTGGAGTCCGCGAGACAACAGTCAGCGATGGTTAGAGATATGGCCTAAAATAGCTTGCAGTGGCGTAGGTGCATCCACTGTTTATGTTCACTCAAATCGTAATCCTCTGGACTCATCATCACCTCTATCTTTCACTTTTTCAATTTATTTCACTGAATTATACTTTTGAATAATATCGTCGAACCCTATTCTCTCCGATTAGTGACAATACTTTTACTATCTCTACCACTAAGGGATTGGAATTGACAATTGCGTCTCTGTGCTAATATTGTATGGCAACCTGAACTGATATACGTACGTACAAAGTTCTACGTTGTAACTGACTGACTTTAAATCATTGCTTATTATTGTTATCAATGGTTGGAATGAGTGTGAGAAAACGCAAGTACTTTCATGAAGGAATTTAAACACGAAACGAAACGAATTTACTTCATTCTACAATCTTTGTTATTCTTAGTATGATATTTCCAATTGATTCCCGTATACATTCTTTAAGAATACTTATATGTTTAAGTCAACAATCCTTGGTATTTATATGGTACCTGTTTTATAATATTCTGAACCATTTCTGATTAATAAAACAGTTGTTTGTTACTTCTCCATTTAATTAACAAAATTAAAAGAAATTCATGATTGCTATTCGCTTAGTAATTATAATTATGTGCGTTAAATTTTCTTAGCAAAAAGCATCTAAAAGCTCTTATTCTAATTCCCCTTGAATAACTATCAAATTTATTTTTACTATGATCCAATCTATAACACAAATATGATGTCCGTATCATGTGATGATTTCTATCCAAGATCGATTGATAATTTGAGAAAAAAAAATGATTTCCATACTAGTTGTAAACAGTAGAACTTGTAATCTGTGTGCACTTGTTAACAATAGCTTTTGTCAAACAATAACTAATTCAAGTATTATTTTGATTATATCTATTGAATTGTTATGCTAATAACTACATGTAATCGCTTGTAAAATAATAATTGTTACCCTAATGAATAATTCTTTTGTTTTATATAATCGGATTGATATTGACTCAATCGAACATAAATTAGCATATTATATTTGTGATAAATTTTATTGAAAAATACATCATCTCTGGTCACATTTAACGAATATTATAGTTTTAACCTTCAAAGTATCTCAAACGTTTCATTTGGAGTCAAGACTAATATATATATATATATATATATATATATATATATATATATATATATATATGTTTACTGTGTATAAAGAAATGTGCTCAAATAAATCATAATATTTGAAAGATATTTAAAATGAAATACTTACGTGGTTCAGTTTTACTTAATACATTAATCATGAATTATGCTTATTTGTTAATATTTGATTAGAACATGATAAATAACCAATAGATAGGTCACAAGAAAAATTTAAATAAAATTATTCTGTCTCTTTTATTTGTTAGATTTTTTAAAACACTTTTTCCTAATAATATTTGTGAACTCCTTTCATACCCTTTAATCATATCAGAATGATGTTGTAAGTTTAAATGACGTTTTTCGGCTTTTAGGTTTATCTTTCAACTTAGAGTAACAGTTCAATAAAAGTTTATATCTTAATTTATTATGTATCATCTGGCCTTTCGTTATGATGATGAGTTCTTGATTTAGTGGCTGAACAAACAGTTCGCTTACAGAACCAATTTCCAAAAATTTCTGAAAATAAAACCGCTGGTCAATTGATTATGTATGTGCATATACAGTCGATCCAAATAACTGACCAGAGCCCAGAGTGGGCTAATATTGAGGGACTGTATCTCTCAATACGGCTTCATACAAAATAAACTTGATTAGAATTAGCTCAAAATGCCACCGAGTATTAGATATTTATCATGTTAGTCAGTCCTGAACCTATGTCTATATTGTCAGTCTTACTTGTTTCCCTCTAAACCATGTTTCCACTTGTTCGATACTTATTGTAAAAGCATTTACTTCACTCCTTCAAAGCTACCCTCTGTTTTTATGCATAAAGTCCCTTTTATAGAAAATACTATTCACGTTATTTCATTCTAAAAAATATTCGCTCACATCTAAGTAGTTGATAGAATTTCATTTGTAATTTTATGTTGATATTCGACGTCATATAACAAAAGCAAATAGTTAGATTATTTTAGCATTTAGTGAATTGTCAATTATCAGTAAATTGAATGATCACACATCTGAATGAGTTGAAAAGTTACCATTTATATAAGTCAAACCTACATAATCAGTAATGATTATTGTTATTTTTTATTTATATTCCAAATAAAACTAACAAAAACGATAAACATGTAGCTAATTGTTATTTAATAATCATTAGATTGACATTATAGTTTAAATTCGATTATTTCTCTGCAGTATGAAAAATACATTTTTCACTATTTATGTCCTACACCAATAAATGACAACCTTGCACGTGTTTGTATCTATTTTTAAATAGTAATGTTGTTGCAGCGAAAATGATGGCTCGAATGGGATATCGAGAAGGACAAGGTCTAGGTAGAGAGAGTCAAGGAATGTCGACTGCATTAGTTGTTGAGAAAACTAGTCGACGTGGTGGCAAGATAATTCATGAAAAAGATAAACAACGTCAACAAATTCAGACAAATGCTGCTGCCAACAATAGTAATAATCTACCTAGTTATTTGAATGCAAATGTAGAGGAGACATTTAATAATTTGCCACTACCAGAGAATCGAAGTTGTGTAAGTTATAAATTTTCTTGTATTAAATGAATTCATTATATCATGAACCATTCCAACTGATCTCCTGAACACATAAATTTCTCTGTCCATTTGTGCTTGTTTAAGTGATAGTTACTATCGAATTATTAATTGTATTCATTGTTATTAATTGATATTGTGGCTCAGCAAATTATTCTATTAATCTATTTTTAAAACAGTAGGTAACAGTTTTGAACAGCGTTCTACTTGCCAAGATTTTAGTAATCTGAGGGATGTTGTATCCGTATTATGTTATTGCTTTCAAATTTCACTTGATTTTTGAAAGTGAAGATTTCTCAGAAGACATCAACGATCAAGATTATTTGTGGGTTTAGAAAGTTACAATAATCTGATTAATATCCTATATCTTTGGTGTCATTATCTTTGATTAGGTACTTTTCCAATATAATCTAGTTACATGAAAATGACCAGATACTACACCTACTACTTATATTCAAACTAATTGCTTTCTGTGAATTCATAATATTGATGTTCATGTACTGCATTTGGCATTCTTTAGCCTCTACAGTTTCAATACAGATATTTTGTAAGGCTTTTGTTCAAACTGCAGTAAAAATACCATGGAAAAAATTTCTGTCGTATCAATACAATGCTAATGTGTAGTAAAGTTTTTCATTTCAACAACCGTTAAAGAAAATATTTCCTAATTAGAATTTTTATAACGTGCAGTAAACATAAATAAGAATGATTTTTTAGTTTAGGCATACTAGTAACTGTCACATATACCGTTTATCACATTTAGTCATTTTATGCTGAATGGATGGAGTATGTATCAAAGAAAGATGTTCGTGCTTATAATATTATTACTATCATTATTGACAACTGTAAATCACTAGTTAAGTTGAAATCTTACTGTCCAATGAATATTCTTAATTTCTAGGTTATCCTTCTACGTAATATGTGTGGACCAGGTGAAGTCGATGATGATCTTGAACCTGAAACAGCTGAAGAATGTGCTAAATATGGCAAAGTAGTAATGTGTATGATTTATGAATTGCCTGAAGCTCCGGAAGATGAAGTAGTTCGTATTTTTGTGGAATTCGAATCTGAAGAAGCAGCAACTAAAGGTGTGTTTATGCATACATATTGCAGAGTTAATTTCTTAATATTCTAGGGAAACGATGGTTTCAATTACGTATTATTTTTTTGTTGCTTGTATCCATTCCTATTCACATATTGCCTAGCTTAAGCAGATTAATTTGTGTTGTGTCTGTGAAGGAAAAATATTTTTACCTTTCCCGTTTATGTGGAATACTACGCGTTTTTCCTATGTCTTCCCCTTAAATGTGGATAACTAATAGCCAAGTGGAATTATATTGAACAGCCAGTTTGCTCTCTGTCTGTGATGTTATACAGTCCTAAGATCATTTCAAAATATGGTATGACAAATCATTTAACTTATACAATCGCTGTAAAAAATGTATAATTGAAAATATTACTGTGTGACCTGATTGATTAGTTCACAGTCTCAAGTAACATCTATGGTTGTAAAGATGCAGTTTACATACAAATTTCTAATTTAGCATCACGAACTAAGGTCTTTTACAGTACCACTAGGAGAAAATGAGAAATCACTGAACAACCGTTTTGCACCTCACTCCACTCCTGGAATTCCAGTTGGGTGATGCAAATAGCAACAATAGCAGCCGGTGAGGCCGCGCAATACCGCGAATCGACAAAAATAAATAGTGTAAATATTTAGATGCCAACTTAGCAGTTCCCATCTTAGGCTCCAACTGTGAGGTCTGAACGTCATGGATCCAGTCCTTGGCAATCTTCAAAGGACAATACTGATGAGTCCAGAACTTAGACAAATGTCCAGTTTTTCCTGGCTTGCATTGATGATGAATTCAGTCTGTCATTCAGTTACAACGTTAAACTTCGTACGTACGTACATCAGTTCAAGTTGCCATACCACATTGGCACAGATACGCAATTGTCAATTCAAATCCCATAGTAGTAGGGGTAGTAGAAGTACTAGCAGTAATCGGAGGTTAGGTTTCGATGTTATTCAAGAAGTATAATCTAGTTAAATAAACATAAAACGAGAACCGTAAAGTGATGAAGAGTCCAGAGGATTAGGATGCATCCGCGACATTGTAAAAGGTTTTGAGCCGTCATTCAAGGTCTCTAACCATCGATTACTATAATCTCGACTGGACCACCGTCCTTAAAAACCTCAGGAAACAACCTATCAAGATCCATTGCTTTATATTTTCTATAGCTTTCTCAGCTTCGTGAAGAGTCAGTCAGTCAGTCAGTTGCATCGTAGAACTTCGTACGTATGTACATAAGTTCATGTTGCCATACCACATTATTAGCACAGAAACGCAAATGTCAAATCAAATCCCATAGTGATAAAGATAGTAGAGGTATTAATGTTAATAAAGAAGACTAGGGTTTGAAGATATTATTCAAAAAGTATAATTCAGTGAGATAAGGTTAGAAAGACAAAGGTAGAGATGCTGGCTAATCCAGAAGATTAGGATTTGAGAGAGCTCAAAGAGTGGATGCACCTGCGCCATTGCAAACGATTTTGAGCCATGTCGTTCAAGGTCTCTAACCATTGATGACTTTCGTCTCGCGGACCCCAACCAGGTAGTCTACATCTACCAACATGACTCAGTCCACTTGTCAGTGACTTCATGGATTTGTGCCATGTTTTGGTCTGGCCACCCCTAACTTTCTTCCGTGAAGAGTCGAATGACTTACATCGATTTGCTATTCAGATCGACTGGGTATCGTGGGTAACCGAAGTGTAGCTGAAAGCCGGTTGAACTGATCACTAAAGTATTCTGTCCATCGATCCAATCTCCCGGACTGAGAATGAATAATAAGCCCATCCTCTCCCGAGATAGTCTCACTTGCAGTCGGATTCCTTATACATGTTTCCTTGATAAGTCTGAGCAGTGGTTTACTGTTGCCTTTTCCATCTTTCTTGCTTTCGCTACTCACCATTGTTTGCTATCATTGCGTAGGCTTTTTATCAACCTGTACCTAAGCTGACTCCGCTCCTCATCGTAATCAGAGCCAGACGGGATGAGTTCCAAAGCATCTTTCAGTTCGGTAGATGCTACTAAAATCCACCGCTTCTCTCTAACATTATGGTTTCAATGCCGTTTCTACTGCTTTTTGGATATCATTCCAAAGTGCTTTGGAGTGAGGATTACTTACATGACCTCAAAACTTTTACTAGGTGCACCTGATATATATTCTTAGTGTCCTTCCTACACCTGGTAAGTCGCAAACAAATACGCGCTCGCACTAGAGTATGTTCTAAATCTAAATGTGGTGCAGAACGAGCGGCAGTCTTCTATTGAACCCTTCCATCGGTGGCTGATAGCGCTGTGATCTAGTTGGGTCCAGTGTTAGGACACGTTTGGAGGTCGCCATGTCAAAACATATTTTTCGTTGTGGTAGAACCTACAGCAACATATGTTCCAATTAATATAGATCGGTTGGGTCGTCAAGGTAGGCAAGCCTGACCACCACGTCAAGGTAGCAGCTATGGTCGGGGAGTTTGAAAGTACTGACGTACAGTCCTGAACAGAAATAAGGCTTCTAATGTATTTCAAAACTTCAAACCTGTTAGCTCGATCTTAAACTACACCTGACTGCCCTATTGAGCGGAATATATTCAAACGAACAAATTACTAGTCGAACAGCAGGTTGCTTAAGTACTAATTTGTTGCCCATGTCTGTGCAGCACTGTTTGACATAATAAAACTAAGTTTTGTACTGTTACAGAGACAGTATTAATTTTTACCTTATTTCCCGATCATATGATATTTGCTTTTCCCAACACTTAATTCTATGCGTTTGTTTTGTAGCGGTACTTGATTTGAATGGTCGATTTTTCGCTGGACGTGTCGTGAAGGCTGGATTTTATGATGCAGAAAAATTCAGGAATCTGGAACTTGCTGATGCACCATTGTCTACGTAATTTTCGTGTTATTCTGTATAGTATATACAATCGTTCTTTAATTATATGGTACGCATGTTCTAATCGACTTCACAAAATACGTCATATAATTCGGATTGGAGAACTTACATAACACCATGTTTATTAGTACGTACACTGGGTACAAATATATTCCTCTTAATTCTAACTAGAAAATAACATTAACGCTATTACGTAGGGTTCAAAAGATGAAATTGAGATCCTGACAAATTGTAATGAGTTAGCTTCGAGCTGAAATAAACTGCATTTTAATACAGTTTTTGTCGTGCAGATTATTTTTTGCATATCTTACTTGTTACAAGTCAAGGGAAAGATTTGTCAAGTATATAAACTGTAGCTTAGAATGTATTCCAAGCTTATTTAGTTATGCATAATCTTATTTATTTATCTTGGTACTTTTATTTAAGCGCTTTATCTTATTGAGTAATACATTCATATCCATAGTGAATTTAAGGTCCGAATTAAAACTTCATGCTCAACAGAAATCGGTTTAGAATATTTCCTGACGTTCACTGAAGGATTGCATTCGCAAATTGCTTTAAATTACTTTTGTGTAAAAGAGCCATTAAATACAATGCAATAGGATATCAAACAGGCTAAACTGCCTCAAAGTGAGTAATCCTTAAGGTTATTTTGTCCTGTTTGTATGCAACTTCTGACTTATAATTAATAAATTTGGGGCTCGGTTTAGTTTAAGATAGTGCAATCAAACTAAATTTAGGTTTGTCAAAAGCACATTATTTATTGTGATACACTGATAAATATTAACAATTATTATGTTTCGTTAAAAATAAAATACAAGTATCAAAAAGCTAAGCACAAAATATTAAAAGAGCTACATAGTACTACAAAAACGTGAGCTTGTCATGGGTTGCGGAACAGGAGTTTCTGAGATCGTATTTTCTGTTACATTCTGTGGGTCATCGGCCGTATGATGGTTGTTTAATACATCGGACACCCCATTACTTTCGACTATTATATTATTATGATATGTACCATTCTCCTTCATCTGATTTCTATGAACAACGGATTTACGGTCCTTTGGTCTCAGTGGGATAGTAGTTAATTTGATATCTGCTTTATCAAATGCTTGACGTCCATTAGCACTTCTAAGCCTTGCAGAGATAGGTGGAGTAATTGCTTCCATTACCTGTTTTCTTGTTGAGTGAAGCGCCTTTTCGCCTCCTGGCTTATCGTGAACCTGTTTTCTGAAAAGATTAAGATTTAAGCAGGGGATTTACCGAGTTTTTTGGTGGGCCCTAGATTTACGAGCGATGCGTCCGTTCCTAGCTGACATTGTGAAAAAGTATTATACAAACTACGTCAGCCGTCGTAGCGTTCTGAAAAGTAAAAAGGTAACACCATGAAAGCACATTTCCGCAGAATGGTCAATTCTAAGAGAACATCATGAACCTTATGTTCATATCCAAACAGAACTTGTTATGACGAAAAATAGTTGTTGTACAAGCAATCTATGATCTACACGCGTAATGTCATTTAGTGGGAAAATACCAAGCATCTAATGAAGGTGCCTGACGCAAGTGGACTAGTACAGTGATGAGAGAAATAAGCATGTGCTTCTAGGCTGTTATAGTTAGTAGCGAAAGGAACGTTACGTGATTGGTAAGGAGTACTTTAATGATTGGAGTGTTTAAGACAGGCAGTACTAAGAACAAGTGCATAATTGTTTGGATGGTCAGTACTAATTTATGCCAAAGCAGCTTAAAGCCAGGAATCTTGACCTGTGCTCTTATAGTGTATCAAGTCAGGACACAAGAAATATACAAGATAAGTCTCCGAACGAACAGCAATTATGAGCTTGAAACGTTGAGGTTCGATAGTTATTCATGCTAAAGGCAGTCTTCTGCCACTAAGAAAACATCTGAAAAATCCTATCTAATACGTGGAGTAATTTATTTGTTAAGCGTACATCATACAAGCAAGATTAACTATAACCATTCACCTATTGGCTCTTAATTACCAACTAGCAAGACTTATTTAATTTAGAAAAAGCATCTGATTGATATAATTAACTTAGTTTCAGACGTGTTGATAGCTTGAGAAGTATCAGATGCATCTTATTAACAACTACAAGATGTAGTTGATACTAATTTGGACATATTAGTAAAAAACATCTATAGGGGCACTACACTACTTATATCACATCCTTTAAACATCACGTTACTAGAGTGATACCGAATTAATGGGCCTTAAAGTGAAGGCCGATCAATACGAGTACTGGAAGCAGAGTATTCTCAAATAAACATGCAAAAAATGTAATAAGATAAATAGCCTACAACGGTGATTTCCGATGCGATTAATCCCCCAGCCAGTTTAGAAATCTGTAAAAAAAAAAGAACGCAACATAAAATAAGTTGACTAGCTAATTAGCATGAGAGATACATCTATGTTTATGACACAAAGGGACCACTCATACTTACCGCATCGAAGAAGGTTAAACAAAGCAACGAGTTGTATCTCTGATATCGTTGATCCATTTAAACTACCATGCCACAAACCCAAAAAATTCTGTTACTTAGTGAGCTTTTAATTCTTCGATTACTTTCGAAGATCACGTCACACTAATGTGTGGTAACATCAAACTCATTGGTTCCTATTATCTAGATCCAAGTTATTTGCATAAAGGGGGAGCATAATCTACGTATTGAAATAGGTTTTAGGAAGCTTTTCGTTGTTTTATGAAAAGATATTCTTGCTAATGCGTAGGACGAAGTGATATAATCCATATATCCTTCCGTAAATGTATCTTGACTGTGCCGGAAGTACGAAGTAAAAAGAAAGTGACGAGAAGCAGAACAGAAAGGAGATGGACAAAATTAACTGAATTATTAAAAATGTACAGAATTTAGTAAGAAAAAGAAAGCGATTGCACCTACTTCATTCATCCTCTGTTTTATATGTTTGGCTCTCTTACATCTCTGATGAGCTAATCAGTATTTTAGTCACGGCTTTCTATTGCACACCTTGTCGGAATAGCGACACTAATGTTCATTCTGCTAGATTCCTATTAACCATATCACGCTGTTATTAAGTTAACTAATATCATAGAATGGCTAACTACTGGCCAGTAGATATAGATAGTTTGGAGGCGAAAAGAATGGATAGATGCCCAAACAATGTGAAGTCAAAGAGTGTTGAAAAGTAATAGTGACAGCGATATGCAATAAAGCAAAATTCGTGGAAGTTAATAAATAAAAATAATGTTCTTTGTTCTCAGACAACAATAGTACATAAATCGGGGATATCAAAACTAGTTTAACCGGTAATACGTGAAATAAAAAGAACTCTCAAAGTTTAAGTTAGTTTGAGTTGCCTGAGTTCGGCAATAGTTGTGCGTCTTTTATCGATTCTATCTGAATTAATAAGACTGAAGGCTGTATGAAATTTCAGCAAATTCAGTATGTTATTGACTGGAGCCCAAAGGCTTGACCTACCATGATTAGTATCTGGTGAATAATTAGCTTTTCAGTTGGTCTTACCTGTATAAATGGAAATGGGGGTACACTGTACCCTTGTTCTGTTAATGGTTCTTATATTAAATAGTGATATTAGACGGGTGGTACAGGTGATCTGGAAACTGAGTTAGAATTCTAAAGCAGTTAAAGAATTTCTTTGTAATTTAACAGCGTTATTAGATTTAAAGATGGTAATGGTGTCACAGTTGTAGATAGGAATGAACAACGTTTTAAAAGAGGCTAACCAGTTCACAGGCATGATGAAAAATTTTACGCCTGCCGAAAATTTTACTGTGAATAGTCTCTCATTTAAATGAACATTTTATATGATACAATCACTATTTAAAGAGTTAATATTTTACATCAAATTTCAGGTGGTGCAAACTCTTTCAGATCAAAAAACATTTTGGTTTAAAACTGATTCATAACACAACAGAAACTTCATGTGACCTAGTTAAGAAGAGCCACCACTAAGATGCAAAAATGGTTCCAAAAAACTGAATCGTTAATAATTATGTAGATCTATAGAAAATGATAAGGAAAGCTCGGTGACTTATCGCATTAGTGATATTCCATTATTTGTATTTTTAACATCGTTTCGGATTAGGTCAGGAGCAAGCTTAGTTTCAAAGTAATCGCCTTGGACGGCTTGTAGTAGAATTCTCGGTAGGAAATGAAACCAGTTTTAGGTTACAAACTAGAGTCATTAGCTTAGTCGGCAATGATAGTTAAGATCGATATCGATGATAAGCTATATCTTGCGAACAAAGTGTTCTGCCCCACAGATATCTTTGGATTGAACTTATCGCCTCAGTATCATGAAGGCTGGTCAGATAAATTATCTTTGCTCCTTTTGTGATGATATTTGCTTATAATTCCTAATTTGTAGTCTGCAAGCTTATTTTTTGTGTATATTTCGACTGAAGGTAGGTATTCAGGGGCCCTATTTTGATTTGTACAAATTTATTTAGTTGATGTTTGAACAACCGTCCCTTATTTTTAGCTTTCTGGAAGTTATTTGGTTGTCTTTTTCTTGCTTATGGTCTCCCACTACTCTGTGAGATATTGGTGTCTTTTAATGCTCTAGGGATATCATTTTCGTTCGAGGTCGAGTAATGGGCCTCCGAAATAGCCCATTCAGTACATCTTGCGTTGATTGAATAAGATATAAAATTGTGTATCGCTGTGTTTCCTCACGGTGCCGCTGTACGTTTTAATTTTGTTACTGATTTCAACCTATTGTTTCGATACTATAGGAAAATGTGAGAACAGCTGATTAGGATGACTTAAAATGAACACATAGAATGATTGTACACTAAAGTAACACCGTAACAATGAAGTGAATCACTGTAGAGATTACATTCGAAATCATAATCACTTAGTTATCAATGATATCATTTGCCTGTGATGTGTCGAGACTATACTGACTATGATCTCCATCAACGGTCGATTAAATTGTAATTACTAGGCTAAATCCCTCTTTTAGGAGAAATATCGGGACAGTTGTGATTGCAGTTAGGATGTAGTTGTTTGCGATCTCGTGGTATTGAAGTATTACCAAGATCGTGCTCAATTGCACAGGCGGAACTTCCGTGTTTGTGAGCAATCTCAATGTCACGGTTATCGGAAAATGTGTGTTTCCGACATAATAGAACGAAATGGTACATTTAAACAACCACTGGTACAACTTGTTGTAATAATAAGTGTTTACTGTAAGCTAATCGCGTTCTCTTCATAAGAGTGGATCACTACAAACGTAAAAATAGTACTTATGCTCTGATAATCATATGTTACAGTAGGTAAACCGATTTATTGGCGAAATTAGACAATTAGAAATGATACCACATTTATTACTGGAAGTTTCTCGGCTGGTGGAATATTTGACAAGATATACTGATCACATATATGAAAATGCAATGTTTCCAACATAAGGTCATGAATAACGTTTAGGAAACTGGGATGTGCCATAGAAGTGTTGACACAAGTCAAGTCCTTTTTTTCGAAGAACGATTGATATTCGATGATTAATGAATAGTGAATGCAGAGCTATTTATAACCAGGATTGGAGAGTAAGTCCATATTCACTTTACCAATTTAAATTTTCCAGATAAAAAATCACGATCTCTCTTATATCAAACATTAGTCTCCAAAAATATCCAGAGTGTTACTTAGGCTTTAGGACGAATTGATATGTGGATATTTTCGTCATTTACCATTTAGCTTACTTTATGTCTCTCTGTTAGAGAAATCTTTAATGTCAGGACAACGTTACCGTAATTTTACATTTCAATTTAAGCGCATTGTCGGTTTTTTAGCTACAAACATTTCAAAATTTTAGATCTCGATTTTAAATTCATTCACTTTCCCATCTGAAAATGGAGAGCCCGGAAACCCAGTTGAAACTTCAATAAGTCCATACACAACCAAGTTGATCCTGATGTTTTTGAAGTAAACTTCAAAACCTTCACTAATTTGAATATCCGAACAGATATTTAATTTAGCATGACATTCAATAATTACCGCTGTTTACTCTATGACTTGTCCTGTCCCCACTCCTTTTTAGCAGAACTTTCTTTAAATGAGTCAATCAAACTTAGTAATTCATTTACCTGTGGCATGTGCCGCTTCGCTCTTTACAATTAGATATAGGCTGCCATCCGGTTTATCGTTC